TATGATTAATGATGTACAACATGTACAAAGTGCTTTCTTTCCACGGTTTTCTGAAATTTTGCTAAATACAAAAACATACCAATCAACCAAAAAAATAATCTTGATAGCGTTGTAACCAATGCGACTAACTTTAATATACGATACCTTACGTTCACTACTTAGGCCGATGAGCACTGCTTTTAGCGGCTAGCCCCTTTCGGTGTGTAACGGACAATAGACATCTACAGTTGCTCTCAAATCTCGGCTATCTCGATGTGCTTTTAAACGCGCAAAGATGTTACTACGGTACTGTACGGTAGTCTTTAGGACTACAATTGATACCATGCTGCTGCATCTATAGCGGTATTTTGTATCTACAGCAACTCGAGCGACTTACGTATAATATATGCAGGTAGCCCTGCAGCCTATATAACATGAAAACCAGTACTAGAAATTCTAACCACCCGCCTCCTTACACGAACGTCTCAAATAAAAGAAGCACATGCGGGAAGAAAATGGATACTTAAGGTTTGTTATTACAAACATTATGCTATTATTATATAACTTCTGCAGCATATAGACGAAAACAAATATATACACAAAACAATAGTATCATTACTAATGACGGTGTAGAACGAACAGTAACATGTACAGTAATAATAAGCATCTGTAACATCGCATAGTCCGCAGACAAACAGACGACCTTCGCCCGAATTGTGAAAGCAGGGTTAACTTCGACAGGAGTTTCGTTTTTCCCAGTAAGCAGCTTCATCGACGTCCATTGATTTCCTTTTATGATTAAATTTCAACCTTACTTACTTCTCGGCTCGAGGTACCAATCTTTTCTCCGACAATGAAGAACTACCCCCTGGTCAGTGTGTCATGAGTCCGCGCCATTTGCGGTTTTCTAGTTCTACTTGAAGTCGTGCTCTTTCGTGTTAATGTAAACACAGTTTCTACGAGCGTCTGTCTCGTCATAGCTACCGCTACCGCCAATGCAATGATAATCAACACTGACTAAAATAACTAAGGTTCGGATCCGCGCACATGGTGAATAGTGGCGACACGCTCTATTTTTGACAAGACGTTTTAACAAGAAGTGCTGCCAGACCGGACCTAAGCCCGCTCTCCGTTGTAGTATGTCCAGCGGGTTTGTCTGTCGCAATTATCCTCTCGATGCTGCTGGCATTGTCGATGCTACTAGAATTACCTTTGTCTTCAAATGACCAGTTTAGCGAATCAATTGAATCGAATAGTAAGGCGCACGAGTTGCTTAATGTACTTGTATTTCCAAAAGTCATTGGTGAAAGTCTACAAGATATTTGCTAACTGCTCAGAACCAGACGTTGATGCTAGGTGTTTCCTCGGCGCGGGAAGGTGATTTATTCTGATATCTTAAAACTCTCCTCCTGGTGGTGAGATGAGCCATCTCAATCGTGTTGCGACTGACTTGTTTTGTCTAATCTAATTAACCGCGCTGAACTATGTACAATGCATCTCCGACACGAAATTGAGAACCGAGCCATAGTGTCTTCGGCCCTGTTGGCCACCATCGGTGCCGCAAGACTAATGTCGCGTCACGTATTACTGACGGTGATGATCTGTTATGAGAAGATCACTTCACTCTGCTAGCTAAACAAATGTTGCAATTCCAGCTTGATCATGTAAGCGAATTGGCTCAAATAGCTATAGAGAAGAGCCATAGTTTTTTTTCAAGAAGTCCTTAAGAAAAGCATATGGCATTTATACTTATTTCACATTTTATTGACATACCAAAATAATTTCCAATAGTTTCTTTCAGTGTAATGTATTATTATCTATTGACATGTAGAATACATTTACATATACGCATACATAGATTTTTACATCCAGATATGCTCTACGTTTTTTCAAGTATTTATGTACGCCCACGTAACAGGAATGTACCTAGAACCCGAGAGTTATTCTGCCTATCTATTACGAGATCGTCTGACCTTGGCTTGATTTGTCGATTTTCTATAATTTCTGGTGTTGCTGACCTGCATTATCTATCCTTTGGCATGACCTTGACATTTGCTCGCAGGTTTAAATAATCTTACCCTCAATAAGTAATCCACTATAAATTTTTGCTATCTGCAGAATTCGACTTGAGCTGACAGACAGGAAGAGCAAAGGATTAAGAGCAAATTTTTCGAAAGAAAAGCAGCTAAGTAAAATAAAGCTTGCATAAATAATAGAATTATGGGACTATAATCCATTCATAAAAATGTTACGTGCAAATGACAAATGTAAGATTTTGTCATAATAAAACACTATTTAATACACCAGTAAAAGATCCAGATCGACTAGGTAGATTCATATCGCTCGCCAAAACTATTAATCAAGAGTGTTATATTTACCGTACTGACCTTCGAAGAAATATGTAAAATGTTTGTAGATACATAACACACTTCTGTAATTCTTAGAAATAGTAGTACTCTCCAGGCTCGGCTCCTTGCAATAGCGTTCGGTCAAGCCAATGATTCGGGCAAAGTCATGTGCTAGTCTTGAGTTTTCGTGCCATGAAGTGCCACGATACTGCGTGACTCGATTATGAACCATCGAACTTTTTCTTGTGCAATAAATGGCCACCCTCATTTTGCTTATTACTCGTGTTTTTTAGTGCAAAGCATTCCCACTATTCAAGTAGTTTTATAATTAAATGCAGAAGAAGCGTCCGATCGTCGAGCGCGACCTTTTGCAGATCCTGACGAAAACATGTTTCCAAAATCTTTTCTACGAAAATCATGACTTTGACATTAACGATGCGGTGTTAGTGGTAACAGTTGAATGCTGTTGGTCCATCAGTAGGGTTCATTGCATTATATTAGTATATAATGTGACAGTTATCGTCGAAGTTTGCTTTCGGAGCATGAGAAAAAGATACCAAAGGTAGTATCTTCGAGTAGCGAGCGATAGTTCCTTTTCGAGGCAGGTACCGTACAATCTGTGCCACTTAAAAAAGTTCGCAGCTTGTAGGATTTTTTAAATTAGTACTTGTTATCGTCCTCTTGCCTGTAACACTATCATAAAAAAAATTCTTTCCTAAAGTAATTCTTCTTTCTAGTAAAATCTCACAGCTTTCATTTGCTAGCACTAGGAAAAAAGAAAATTAATCAAATCTAAAAAGAACTAGCCAAATCATTGCTAGTATTATTCATATCAACTCAATATTTTAGAGCTACATACGAGAACCACACACGATACTATTCGAAAGATAATATTGCTTCTATAGGAAACCACAAGTACACTAGTCAAAGGTCATTCATCATATTACTCTTATGCAGTTCGCTTTTATCCAAAACCGCACGCTTAACTTCAGCTTTATATTCCCAGTTAATCCCACACAAAAACGTCAACAGACTTCACAATATGTGAGTGTCCACACTATTAATCACGTCAAATACTTAATCATCGTTATTACCGTTGATCGATTCAATAGGAGACGATAGATTGCGATGACAAATAATTTGATACGACAGATCCTTATGCTTAATACATTAATGAGGACTGTAAGTGACGCCCTACATTTGTTTGGCTTTTCTCCTCCAAGGTATACGTAATCATCGACCATATTTGTCTACTAAGATCAACAATCCACATGGTGGAAATAACAATGATCACCGGCAGTAATAATATGACCCTTACAATAAAAACTCGGATATATGCTCCATGCAAATAACGTCGGAACTCCTTCTCCTTAATAACACTGATGTTATGCAATGACGGCAGAGGTTTTAGGCGATGTAACACGGTTGAGGCTAACGGCAGAGTTGATGACGTTGGAACTTGATTAGCTGCCACTGCTGCTGTCGAAGATTAGTAGATCGTGTTTTTTTACTTTCTTTAATGCTGCCGATGCTACCAAAATTTTCTTCGTCTTTGGGTAGCTGATTAGCCAGGTCGCCTTCAGCGGTGGATCTGTGTGCAAATGTGCTCGGATGTGTTCCACCAATTGGGTTTCCAATGCACGTCGATGAGGCGCTGTAGGATAACAGCGGTTGCTGAGACAATTATTGCTGCTTGATCGTTCTTGAGTCGATTTGTGCCAATTATTTAATTACCTTTTCCATCACATCCAGAAGGTGCAACATTACTGATGAGTCAAAAGTTGTTTTTCGTTTTGTTGGCGACAGTTAGTGATGTAAGGCTAACGCAGTGCTAGGTGCCACTAGATACATTTGTCAGTTGGTTATCACTTCGGCTACTGAGCTGTGGCCGGATATTGTTTGCCATCATAAGGAAACTGCGTTTTAACTAAAAAAATTATCTTGAAACACTAATTTGGCTAGGTTGGCGTAGAAGTGGAAAAGCAGAATTTAATCGATAGCGTTCCTTCATTTCGTTTAAATTAAATGCTGTTGCATATGGCACATGTAAATTAACTATATATATAGTACGGTACTTTTCTTCCTTTTTACCTAATAATTCCTGTGCTCTCATTAATTACGTGATTAAACCTTCTAGAATCTCTGAAGAGGCGTTAGCGATTATTTTAAAAAAATACATCGTTTTATATGCAGCTTACTTCAAACTTTTAGTAGTTTAACTGAAATGTTAATTAATTAATTAAAATGAAAATGAATTTACTTGAGTCCTTGCTCAACTAATGTAACATATTTAATGTTGCATTCTTCCATCTGATACATATGCTTTTTTAATAACTAAACTTAGAAACAACCGCATTCCATGAAACACTTCACTGCATTTTGCAAAACATCCTGTTTACAAACCTTGATATTTGATAGGTTAGGCAAATGAAAAATATTATTTGCATTTCTCACCAGTGAAATGAAATATTCACTGGATCCCAAGATGTGTATTTCTCACAAATTACGCATTTATAAAGCTAATCCCCCACCGTGAAACTATTGGTGATGTGCGTTATCCATAAAAATATATGAAGTTAAGTGTCCAAGATAGTGACCTCTCTCTATGACACTTCGCAACTTTACAGCCAATACATCTACTAATTATTCTTTATTGATAAGCCCTAAGCTAATGAAAAACTTGACTTGGCAGTTTTCTCTGCACCTATAATAGCGTATGCTGCAGACTTCCTCTAAATGATTTCTATTCGTCTTTGTTTATTTACTGGTAACCGAAAACAAATTACTTCATAAGTCCATCTAACGGATGCTCCCTCTCACTAAAGCTGCAAAGTGCGAAACAACAACTCCCAGAATCCAAGTGAAAAAAGTTTTTTGTGACGAAACTGACAAATTTTATTATCATATTAGTATCAGTATATTCCCTGGTGTAAATGTCGTCCAAGGCCAGACATTATTACCTAAGTGTATCCAACAACGTCGCATTTCCTGATGTTCTTAAATTTTAACAGAGGTCAATTGTGAATGCGGGAGTGGATCTTAATGACAAAAACGCTGGATCTCAAGAAGCAATGCATATGTACAATATATACTATTATAGATCGTTTTGATGTGTATTGTGATACCAGATCATCATTAAAAAAAAATAACCTATTTTCAAACACAGCAATCTTAAAAAGCCTTAAATTCGGATCTCGTATTATTATAGATAGCAATTCATGCCAGATGGGTCTAAACGAAGTAGCAAAATTTAATCCTTTTCCTCGTACTTAATTTTTACTAGAAATTTGAAACAAAAGTGAACACTACGAATGCATAATAGCGTCGAGCTAAATAAACTGGAAAATTTAATTAGGCCTCATGCTATCGGCATTCGGAATATCATTCGAATTTGTTTGGGATCGATGCTTGTATGGCCATACATTGCGTAAACTGTTGCACTTTTGACTTCCATCCATTTTCAGTTTTTGAGAAACGAAGGCGCTGAGTCGATTCGAACGAACGGATTACTTGACATTAATATTCAAGGCTCGTCGCTGAATAAACAGATATCTTCATTAAAATAAAGATAATTTATAATTATGTTCTACAATTGTTATAATAGTTAGTATTATTTATAGCTTATATGATCTCCTAGTGCATGAGTACGTGCACCATTACAGCTACCTAAACGTCGTAAGTTCACTTATTATCGTTTATCCTCATTTTCTACGTTTCACTTCAGGTAGAGGCATTTTATTCCTCTGCACACACTTAACGGCAGATCGTGAACACGAAGTACGGTAAAGCTTTTTTTTAGCTGCGCGCTTTACCGCTTACACTCCACTTATGTGTTTTCTAACGGCAGCTGGCTAGCCACAGCGGTTACAATGCCCAGCAGTTGTGCTCTTGAACCTGTAGCTCTTTTTTACTTTATTTCGCCGCTCTTTATCTTTCTTTATCAGTGGCTATCTGTCGTTAAGACTACATCATTTTTTTCATGTACTATTGTCATCTATTTACAGTAGAAGCAATATATATATATATATATATATATATATATATATATTAGGAAGAATGTCACAATGTAATTTACGCGAGCAGAACCTAAACTACATGATTATCAATCAGTCAAATTCAGTTCCATGTGTGAAAAGTAAACAAAAAAGTTTTCTAGTTCTGCTGCTTTTCTCCACGCCACATCGCTTCGCCGAGTTCATCCGTCACAGCCCTATATAGCGGTCCGCTCGAGCTTGCGGTGGAAAATGGCTTCAAACGTTGCAAACTACGGTTTTAACGTGCCTCATGCCGTTTGTTTTCAAGCTTACTCATTTGTTTCGAGGTTTCTTCGACTTCGAGTCTGTGGATCCAACGGCGCCGCTTGACCTTTTCTGTGGCTTGGGGGTGCCTTGTCCACCCTGGTTAGTTGTGCCATTCGATGGCCTGCCCTTGCTCGAGTTATCCCGCTTCTTGCCTCCTTCGTTCTTCTCCTTTTCCTCTAGTTCCTGGTTTTCACGTTCGATCAATGTAATTAACGTGTTGCACCGTCGCTGGAGTTCAGTAGCCGTACGACTCTTGATGAACCAGTCGAAACGGAATTGTGGCGCTTGACGCACTGCGGCTCGGAGTTCGTCATAGACGTTGTCCGTCCGATCAAAACCCAGCTTATGTATCATGCAAACCAGGAAACGATCTTCTTCCTCGGTGTAGTTCTTGCCCTTGTTTGAGCCGTAAGCAATGCGCAACTGGTGGAACGGCGCGCGATAGCGAGACATTTTCGAATCGAGAGCTCGTTTAATACCTGCTCGACGCTGGATACGAGCCTCGCCCTTCTCTATTTGCGCCATAATCTTCTCAATATCCTATAAGATTATACCAGAAATCAATTTATGCGAGAGTATGTTAGATAGGAGGATAATGTCAAAAACTTACGATCTTAGTTATATAGTGACTGATTCACGTGACAAGGTCCTTAAACGCTAAATCTTTAATATCGATGGGTATCACTTACCTGTAATTCTTGGCAGCGATCCCAGAAGACCTGGGAATATTCGACAACCTCTTCTGGTGTTTTACCCTCGACATCGCGTGAGATGCTTTCGATGTCCTCTCGGCCGAATTTTTCATTTGCCTTAACGAATTGATTGAAATCCCTTCGGCTCCAATTGGTGAATCCTTCGGTAAGAAGGCGTTCCTTCTCGGCCACTTCCTCTTCAGTTAATGGCTCGGCCTCATCAATTTTTGCCTGTTCTTCCTGCTGAGCCCGGCGCGCATCCGCACCCAAATCAGGATTCTTCGCCACTTTGTAGTCGATGGTTTTACGGAAGTGATAAATTTCTTTGTCAAGCAGTTCGAATAGCCGTGGTGGAAAGAATTGGAAATCCTGAACATTCGGTTGCTTTGGTGGTCGAGGAGCTTTTGGTGCTTTGGGTTCAGATACCCTCAGTGCCTCACGGAAATATGCGTCTACCTGATAATTAGCGCGTCGCTCCCGTTTCGGTGGTTCGATCCAATTGAGCCCAGCGTTCTTTCCTTTCTCACGGAAGTCTTCACCTTCAAAGTTGTATACAGAATATTGTTTACCTTCAGAAGTGTCCATGGTGAAATTACGCAATGAACTTTCACCCATCTGCTCGTACCTCTTGTTTTCTTCTTCGGTCTTCTTTTCAGCTTTCAACAAGATAGCATCAATATCTTCGTCCGTAATTTCGCTTTCTTTAGAAGCAAAGATATGATCGGCACCATGACGAATCATACTCATCATTTCGTCTTTGCCAAGCTTATTTGTATTGTCAACGAGACGGCCTTGTTGGATGACCATCTTATCTAGACGAAGCTTGACTTCGGCCTTTTCGACAATACGCTCCTCGATCGTGTTTTCAGTGACGAATCGAAATACCTTGACTGGCTTCAGTTGACCGATACGATGGGCTCGATCCATAGCTTGCAAATCGGCTTGTGGATTCCAATCAGAGTCGTACAAGATGACAATGTCGGCGGTATACAGATTGATACCTAGACCACCTGCACGGGTTGACAACATGAATACGAATTTTTCACTGTTTGGCGCGTTGTAATCATTAATTGACTTTGTACGCTCTTCATGTGGGGTTTGTCCGTCCAACCTGCAGTACTGCCAATTGCGCCAGAAGCAGTAATCCTCTAAGATGTCCAACATACGCGTCATCTGGGCGAAAATCAATACGCGGCTACCCTGCTCCTTTAGACGGGGCAGAAGTTTGTCCAGTACAACCATCTTACCGCAGTTGTACACCTATGTAGAAAAAAGGGCAAAACAAAGATGTAAGATTAATTAACAATTACGTATTTAACAATAAATTATTTTTAATTACGTAATAAAGTTATTGTTACTAATAAAGCTGATGACTTAGGTTATAGTAAATATTGAAACATTTTTCAAAATACATGGAAATGTCAGTATGCTATCGCACACCCATCGTAAAATTCCTTCGATGAGTGCCAGTTGCCGCAGAGTCGGCACACACCATATTGATGTACGAGCGGAGTATCGGCCAAGACGACGTGACTCCTGCCGAACGACCTTCTTTCGCTCGATTTCAAACGAACATTATAAAAATATCGATCTAAATAAAAAAAATAAACACTGCGCGCTGCACCATTTGTAGAAGAAAACGTTCCTTCCCCTCCCCCTCCTTTAATTTATTGATAATACCTTATAAACTCTCTCATTAATTACAGGACTTAACATTAAGCATTTGCGTTGGGGAGCACTTTATTTGAAAAAAAAACACTCAGTACTAAAATAGTGCAGCATGATTGACGTGAAATGTAGGTGTTTCATATGCTTCCTTTGAGTAACAAATTCTACATGTATAAAAGAAATGGCATAACGCAAAATGAAGTAAATACGAACCAGGTGTTCGTCAGTCGTAAAAGGCGGTCCGGGCTCTGCTCCATCGAACAAGTACGGATGGTTGCAACATTTCCGCAGCTGCATGAGGATGTTAAGCAAACGCATCTTGTCCACTTTGCCGGCGCCGTTCACGATATCGATATCTTTCATGAGACATTTTGTATACCATTCGCGTTGCATTTTACTCAAGCCAACGTAGATTTTCACCTCCTTCTTTGGTGGTAAACGTTTTTCGACTTCGCTTTTCAAACGACGTAGAAGAAAAGGTCGTAGCACAGCATGGAGTCGTTCTACTAGGGTTTGATCGCCGAACACGGAATTGGTACTGAACCATGAGTCAAAATCTTCGGATGAGTTGAACACATCAGGCAGCAGAAAATTAAGCAAGGCCCACAGTTCATGCAGATTGTTCTGCAAAGGAGTACCGGTTAGCAGGAGACGATTTGTTGTCTTGAATTCACGCACGATTTCCGAAAGTTTGCTTTTTTCATTCTTGATACGGTGAGCCTCGTCAATAACGAGGTAGCTCCAGTTGAACTTTTTAAGGACGCCTTTCTCACGAATAACCATTTCATAGGTGGTGATAAGAACGTCCCATTTCTCGGCCATCATAACATCACGGATAAGTGTGTTACGTGATTCCTGATCACCGATCAGAATAACAGTACGTAAAGATGGACACCAACGAGCGAATTCCGCCTCCCAGTTAGCTAATGTCGACTTAGGAACCAGTACCATATGTGGTCCGTTAATATTACGGAAATGTTTCATGTAACCCAGCAGCGAGATTGTCTGGAGTGTTTTTCCGAGACCCATTTCATCGGCTAGGATACCATTAATACCTGCGCAAATAAAGCGAAATAGAATCCATATGTTTCTGGTTCCAAGTAACCATGTAGTTTTTTTTTAAAAACAACATATTTGGGCTAAAATCCGCCAGACAGAACACTACTTAACATAATGACTGTACATCCAATACCATAATGCGAGAGCAACAAGTAAAACCCTTTAATCACTTTTTAGTTAACTACTATTAGCAAGCTAGTAAAGTCTTCGACTATGAGGTGCTACTTAAGATGCTTGCCTACTCTGGCAGTGAACATAAGTGAGTAAACAAATGATGCACTTACCATTCTCATAAAGGGAAATCATCCAGTTGAGTCCACGAATTTGATAATCTCTTAGCTCTCCGCCAGTGATGTATTTGGGGCTCTCGTCGAATCGCACAAATGAAGGCTCCTGGGCATTCGACGTAGCCAAAAGCTCTTCGTCCTCTTCTTGTTCCGTCATACGATGACGATGGCTGTAGAGAAGGAATCATGGACGGCGTAAGATCATCTAAACAATGTATACGTTCTTTTGGTTACATGACAGAGTACAGATCTGAACTAATCGACTGCTAAACGATTTATTCGTTCACCAACCGTGATAAAACGGTATTTGAGAAAGAAAGTATCAGTATAACACATGTGCAATGTTATTTGCTTAAAATTATTTCATTTAGAGAAGGAAGAGCCAAAGGTTAACTTACTCTCCCTCAGGTGCTTTTGGAGTCTTTCTGGGCCTGCCTTTGGGCTTTCCACTGGCAGTTTTATTGCCCGACTGCGAGTTCTGCATAAAATGAGAAAAAATCTCCGTTTGTTGAAGAAGATAATCGAATCTGTAAATGGTAAACATAAACATAATACAAATTAAATAACAAATAACACAGATAAATTTTTTCAACTCTTATAATTCTTTCATTTCGCTAACTACCAGAACCTTTCATGTATTTTGGCTTTTGAGTACATGTAAACTGACATGTCAAGAACGTTTCACCGTACACGTACCGGTTACTGCGATCTTTCTCAACGCGTTGGTTGAATTCGGCCGAATCCTTTTTGAGATCCTTGAGGGAGCTGATTGGTGGTGGAGTTAGTTTCTCGAGAGAAGGTCGTGTATCCCCTACATCTTCATCTACACCTTCAGCCTCGTCCTCATCCTTAGTGTTCTCCTGGCTTTCCTCAACGTCACCACCATCTTCGCCCGACTAAAAAAAAACCAGCAGCCATAGATCCACTTTTTAGTTATATTATTTGAAAAATAAATCTCGATTCTGCTTACTCGTTATTGACTGAAACAATTTTTATAGCTGAAGGTTCTCTTTATAGACATGTTCTTTAAAAACAAGATTCAACTTTAAAAGATAACACTAATAATACTTTTCTAAAGGTTTCTAATATAGGCATTACATCTCGGTACAACGATCTCGAGTTATCAAAAATAATTTGACTTGTCTTCCGTTAAAAATAATAGTTGTGCTTTTTGTGTTGATTTTATGTAAACGACAGAGTTATAGTAGTTGTCATGGATCGTAACGTTCATATTGTTTTTGACTGGATGACAAAGTCTGTTTCCACTGATATGCAAGAAATTGCAAGCTTGGATTTTCTGATATCTTGCATTTAAAAAGGAACTGTTTTTTTTACCTCAGAAGCATATAAGTGAAAATCTTGTCAACTTAGTGCACAACAGAGCTATTCCTATGCGTCCATAACATTGGATATGAAAGAAAGCGACGATAGAAGACGACGAAGAACCCACTCAAAAATCCCTTGAAATTTTTAATGTTTCTAAAACTTTATATAAATATATAAAGTAATATATGTTCCAAAAATAATAGTGGTTATTTGCCTTGATTTAAACATTACGAAATCAGGGGGAACAAAAGTGACAGCAAAACTCGCCCGGCTCTTACAAATCAAATGTCAGAAGAATTCGCGCTTCGAGAGTTGATATGGAATTTTAGTAACAGAAGTATTGCATAACAAGAACGAAACAAATTAATGTAAAGTTCATTCAAATGAGTCAGAATCTTAAAAAGTCCTTAAAAAGCAGTCATCTACTGTCTCAGAGGTCGCTTTTCCATTCACTTTTTACAATAAAGTGCAGGAAGTTCCGGAAATTGATATGACGACGAACGACAGAGTAGCCGGAGTTAAATTATTTATTCGTTTCTTTTTTAGAACATAGACGTTGATCACACGAGGTCTGCAGATGAGGTTTGCCCAGCAGAGGCTTATGACACATTATGACTTTAGCCCCTTTCCCTTGTTCGTTCCCGCCAACGGATAGCCTGCACAGAAAGCAAGCCTCTCTCTCGATGTCAGTCGAGCTCACGATCGACCAAGAGTACTGACAAAGGTGTACATTCCAGCTGTTATTATTAGCGATTTGTGCAGTCCGGAAAACGCTGTATGGAGCATCAGAGCGGGTAAGCCTCGCAACCGGCGTTCGCAACACAACTGACCAGCCGATGCTGGATACAATGGCTGTTGGTCATAGACCGTATACACACTCATACGGAGCTCCAATGAAGCCCGACTGAGCAAGGCGTCCATCCCCCTCAAGCCATTATCATACCTTTTCCGATGCCGGCTGTTCCGGACTCGCTTCAGCACGTTCCCCCACATCCATGGGTTCTTCCTCGGCACTCATTCCTTTGCCGTGAACCACCTTCGTCGACGACGCAGCACAAACGACACAAAAACACGCACAAATTAGTTAGAAAACACGACCAAAGACAACCGTGGTAGCTCACAAAACGCACGCGTCTGCTCGAAGCCACCACCTACTGCAGTCTCCTTACGCCGACTGATGGGCCAATGGGCAAGCGGCTAGTCGGCGCTGGTTGCGGCGGCTATTGTTGTGATGCTGAGTTCGGTCTCGAGCAGACGATTTTTATCGCCGATTGGATCAGTCAACAGTGCCGAAAGGGTCGGCCCGATTCTGGCGCCAAAAATACAAATCCGCTAACTTAGCGGGAAAAACCCTGTAACTTTTGAGTGAAATACCTCTTAATCTATCTGTGACAATAATATCTGGCTGTACATTTGTAATAGGGAAACAACGTCATCAGTTGGCCGAATTATTTTTATGGAACCGACCGTAAATATATTTTATTGTATAATGGCCGCCATGATGTAAAATACCGATAATTTATGAATATACCAATACAACCGAAATGGGTGACTGCGCCAGACAAAAGACCGAAAACCTACATAAGAAAACGCTATATAAAATAATTATACGTAATTATATTACATACTATTTTTATAACATAATTATTGTGTTACAAAAAAAAAGAGAAGACTAAGATACTGCTGTTATGATTACTGAAATGGCTCCTATTAGAGAAGCAAAAACAACTTTTTTTTTTAGATTTTTATGCTGTTGCCTGCGCTTTAGGAATTTGATTTGAGATACGTTTATTTGTACATACCAAATACATTTTCCTAAAAAGAGATGCTGCTCTGAACGATGCATTATGGATGAGAAGACTACTGATAAGAAGGAAAAAATGCCATGTTTGACGTAAAATTAAGCGAGTAGCTAGGATACTGATACCGCATTGAAGCTTAGCATACTATAGTAAACCTTTAGTGTAAAATATGTGCCGTTTTGTATCATCATAGAGAGCTTAACGTAAGCTAAAACTAGTTTACATCCTCGAAAACGCAGTTACCTCAAAGAAAAAGAAACATATAAGATGATAATCGATTTTGTTTGGGATATTCGCTAAGATAGTTAAGCTATATACAGTACGTCTACAATATATAGATATATTTTTAGAAGCGTAATTTGAGGAAAAACCAACATGAAACCTCCATAGAAATTAACCGGAATTAATATAATCAAAGGAACCTGAAATAAAAGTTATATTAAGTCAGTCGGTATAAACTGTGATAAATATCTGTTTCATTAAACTTTGAATTAAAAAACAAAGAAAGTGTTGCAGCAATTTATTGGCCTTCGAGATGCAGTTGTACTGACTTGAACTGCATAGCGTTCATTCGGATCTTATCACTCGAAGTTCCAGCAGAAAAATTGCGCTGGACCAATATAATTACCTTCTTGGAATGAATGCGGTAAACATCATATTCGATGTTGGATCGAGTACTATATTTTGCGTGTTCTATATCTCATATGCCGTTAAACATTACTTCAGATGGGTGGTCGCAGCACAAGACGAACTGTGTCTAGAAGCGGATTCAAACAAAGAATGTTTTTACGTTTGTTATGCAAACACATTAGTTATTGCACTATTACGGGAGAAACCTAGTAGCTAACTGGAGAAACCAACAGCTAACGGTACCAACATTAACTCTAGCAAGCACCACCATTAGCTGTTGGTTTAAAAGATTCCGGAGAATAGATTTTGAATTTCAAAATGAGTTGAATAAGTGAAATAGCACCTGCGAAAAAAAATAATGAAGTGTAGAGAGCTATGGCGGAAATTGATTCACCTAAATATGACCAGGTGTTACCATTCAAATATGGTGTAAACAGAAGTATTTCCTTTATTTACGTCGGTCAAATAAGTATCGTAAAGAAAGAACTAAACAAATATCAGATTTGAGCGGAAATTAAAAATAAGGGTGGAAAGATACCTACCTTGTTCTCATATCACAGTAGTTCCAAACTTTCAGCAAGTTGTTACTTCTGATGCAAATTAGTCTTTTACGGCGATCGCAATCTACTACATCAGCGGGTCGTGCTGAACCACTTGGACATTAAGTCAAAGCAAATGTACAGCTGCAATATATTACGGTATGTATCTGGTGGTCTAACGCGGGTTTTCGCTTATTGCAGTTTCATGAGTCCTGGTTTGTCGACTGCGTCTAAAGTGTACCGTAACTAATTGGATAAGATGATGAATAAATTATTAAACAGTAGATAGAGGTTAACCGCTATTTTTGCACAATAACAGTCAGCTTCATATCACAAGAACGACGGTATTGGAGGTGGAAATTGGAGGCTTCCTGTGAATTATTACACTCATCAGAAATCGTTCCAATCGATTACCTTCTGTTTCAAAATTCTAACATCTTCTAAGCAGAAAAATGGTTTTAATCTCAACATAATTCCAAAATCGCCTTTCGAGACTTTATAAACTTTTGTACAGAATACAACTAATAGAAAATTATGTACGTTTGAAGCCTAAAGCCTCTTCTATCGCATTTTACACTAAGTAACATAGTGCAAAAACTACTAGATTAATATCTCTGATATTGCGGCCGATTTTAAGTTAGTTCGGAAGATCGCATGTTATACTGTGAGTAGCGTGTGCTTCGGCAAAAATAACCTTCAGCTATACTTTTAATCGGAGTTTTCTTATATGAAATACTCGACGTAATAATTATTAAACCCTCAAAAGGAGACTGCCTGTACCTTTACCAATCAAATCAGCTTAGACTGGATCATCAGCTCGCGACACGTCCCTCTATGTTTTGAGTTTTACGTTTGGTTTTGCCACTAGACATTCGCTGGCTGATTCCCAGTACAAAACGAAATGTGCACATGCTCGGGTTCGAACCTAGACCACAACGTATTCCTAACATTTGTAGATAATTACGTTACCCACTAGATACTCACCGGATTTATATTACGTTACAAAGAGGTGTAACCTACGGTCTGGAATACATATTATAATCGATAACATATATTCTAGGCAGTACATCATTCATGGCCAATGTTAATCTAAACTTCTTATATTAAAATTACTATATTAAAATATGTTTTTCTAGTTAAACATGTATAGTAATCACTGCGGACGAATTCACCTTGGCATGTATGCTCATATTTTTTAATTCGGTTACTTAAGTTATGAAGCTTTCAAATAGCCTACACGATCTTTACAAGCCTACTTTTGGATTAAAATTCGAAGTACCAAGTCTGTGGGTAATATTATGTTCAGACAATTATTAAGGGAAAGTTAAGGCACATTTGTAAAATGAGCCTGGTAGTGAAGCACGCTCTGCGCAACGACAGCTAAGCTTAACTGCAGCTTCAGAAGGGAGAAACCATTACTATTGACAATGATTAGTTGTAAACATTAAGAGAAAACCCGTATGCAACTTCATATGTAATACACGATGATACTGATTATTTCTTTTAGCACTTAGAACACAACGATGTTTTCGACGTATCGACAAAACAAACTAGCAGCTTCAGTCGATGCTATATGTCAGGTTATCCTTTTTATAGCTACTTCTTGAGAAGCTTTTTATCCACAGGTAAATAATAAATGCATACCAATAATATATATTATGCTGTTCCCTAGAACAAAGAATATAGTCTATACTTTTCAGATGCGATATGCCTGATACGTTTAGGCCTCTTTATGTTTTGAGTTTTACGTTCGGTATCGCCGTCAGACATTCCATCAGACGCTTAGGCCTACTAAAAAGCAAATATTCAATCAAGAACTAGCAACTGAAGGATTCTATGGGTCAACAGGTTTAGTGGTCAAGGCTAACAGCTTGAAAAACTTCCCATCTTGCCCCTAATTAGACTTGTGCAGTTTGATATCCGAATGAATCCTCATGCGATAACTTTAATTCGCTTATTGTCCAATGCAGTCTCTAACAGGTAGCTGGGGAAAACCTAAAGCAAAATATTTTCCATATATTTAAAATTTATTTTTCCGGAATGATTTTAGAAATTTCTGTTTAAAATCTGTTTTGCTTAAGAACGTGTTCCCGGCTGTTTTACCCCTTGTTTGCATGCATATGGCAGGCCTTTCAGTCTCACTTCACGACAAAAACTAACATTGTAATTTCACAAAGCCAGTACGTCGGAGTTTTAAATATCAGCTCAGTAAAACTAGTCAATTAAGATCCTAGTAATAACAAAAGAGAGAACAACTGAGTCGTTTTAGACTCATAATTTATGGCTTTATTAACATGTGTACATACATACATATATATATATAAAGAACCTGTTGCAGGGTCTCAAGAAGAGTCACCTAGAAAAATTATGTAAGAATACACGGACAGCAACAATTTTTGCTTTCTGTACATTGTTAAATAAAACTAAAAGCCTTAAAACAAATTCCATGATCAAATCCTGCTAACCTTGCATCCTTGCAGGGATGCCGGAATGTTGATAGGTACAGATTACGGATTAACTCATTACTTAGCTAAAGTTAAACGGTTTCAAATAAACGAAATTTGGGAGAGAGGTAAAAAGCAACCTCTTGTACATGATATCTCGCGAACCTATATATGAATTAGACAATAGTAGAGACAATATTCAAGCACTGTGTTGCCCTCGCCTGCCTCTAGCTCCTACGGTTTTGAGCGCGTGGTGCAAATATCTCTAATCTTAAACTCAGCAAGAACGCTGCCACCTTCTTATTCTTTTTTACAAGACATTTACAAGATATTTACATGTCGTTTACTCCGATCTCACATAATTTCAATGGAAAGAAGCCACATATTACATAATAACGCTAGCACAAAGACAGCTTGTTCTATTTAAACAAACAGTTCTGCTTGTGTATATCTCTCTATGAAAATCTACGTACTTCCGCTTATGTTTTGCTTTTTTCAGCAGTTGACACCGCTTTCTGACATTATATCGCAAAGGACGCGGCTAGAGTCTGTGCTGCTAAACAGTAGCACACCATATTCTGTTATCTATTGGCTATAAAGACTATTCAAGATCATTTTTGTCCATATGCCTGATTCATAATCCTTTTTTTCAATTAACTGCACTAAGTAGTATATTAGGGAAAATTGGTGAGATTGTAGTCTACTCCCGGAGTGGCTGGCCGACCATCAGGCTCGCCGTCGGCCTCGGGCTCACCTTCGACTTCGGCATCGCCTTCGACCATCTCGACCTCACCCTCACCCTCAACTTCTTCTTCCTCTTCGTTGCTATCATCCTCCTCTCCTTCTTCGTCCTCTTCGTCGTCCTCTTCTTCCTCCTCGTCCTCGAATTCTACTTCCTGACAAGTTTTACCTGAATTAAGAAGATCAGCATAGAAAAGAATGAGTGAAAAAAACCAGAACGAATTAACAGGTACACGTTCTTGTATAGAGGTGTAGTCTTATAAGTACTTATAAAAAAACCCGCCACGTACAGCAACCATCACACGATGAAAGAAACCTATCTTACTTTTGCATTGTTTCAACTGTTTGTTTGTGAATTTCTAAAGAATAACACAATCGCAATACTAAAGGACTTTAACCTCTTACTCGTGATGTTTTTCGAAGGTTGGTAAATTACAACGATTTCGTTGTCTCAAAGATAGATGACATTAAATCACACGGGCCTTTGTTAAATGCCAATGTGTGTGTGATAATAAAGTAATTTGCAAAAAAATATTGCATTAAAGATATTACTTGTTGCATTAAACTTATAATAGAGTAGCATCTAAATTTGGGCTTTTCGTTAATGTTCGCATTTTTCCCAGCTGCGTATGTGATATATGCAGGATCAAATCCAAAATCATTATGCGAGACTGCTTTTCCTTGTACTACTGCTGAATCACTTAGAATGGCTCTAAAACGAAAACTATTAATATAATACTCTATGCATGTCGAAGTATAATCAGTATAGAGCTGTAATGCCTGCAATATGAAGGAAACTGGTGATAATGTTTGAATTATCATAACAATAAAGCCTTTCGAAGAATTCTACCTATGGGAATAAACTCTTGGTTGGCATGAACGATTTTATCGAGAAAAGCAACATGACGCCGTTCCTCCGCCGCCAGCTCACCATCATCGAGACCAGCCTCCTCTGCTGATAACCACTGCATGTCCACAAGGGCTGAAAAGCATGACAGCTAAATGTTATTATCCACTGAGTTTGTTAAAATTGTTTGGAAGTATGTGTCTTTTTTGTTAAGGTCCTGTAATATGTAACCAGCTATATACATCAGCAGTGTATATAGCTGGTTACACACTACAGTTGTCAAAAAGCAAACATTGATGACTTCAGCACGCTCTTATGTTTACTTACGGATTGTCTACGGTTAGTGTCGACAAAATAAAGAGTGCAAATGAAATATCTAGATAGGTATTAATGGACTACAATTCACAAAAGTTCAAAAAAAGAATCATCATGGTGAAATGTTGTTCCCTTTGAACAGGAAAAATATTTTGGCTTTTTTTTTGTTGTTCAGTACAATCATGTTTTGAAGGCGACTTACGAGGAAGTTCAGAAGAAAATCGCGGCTTCTGCCAAGTCATGTTTACATGAAAAGTTCTGCGGTAATGTTTATAAAATGTATCTTGCTTTCAGAAGGAAGACAAATCAATTTCTATTTACTAAAATAAGCGCTATCACACATTCACCTTTGGCATTGGAAATTCGAATGAACTGACGTAGAGCAAGCAGGGTTGTAAACATCTGATTGGGCGGAGCGATATCATCAGCAGAGACAAAATGAATGGTTCGAGTCTTAAGAACGTTGTAGCTTAAAAGTATAGAGCTATCCCACGAACGCTTGCGCTGCACTTTACTATAAAACATATGTTTTTTCAATATAAGGATTCAACAAACGTAAATACTCACTTGGGCGCTAGCTGGCGTTTCGGAAGCAAGGACCAAACCGGCTTACGGCGCCAACTCAGTATATCCTAACGGTTATTAGATGCATTGTACTCTCGTTACGTTAACAGTTTCGCGTTAATCATTAGCTCTATAACAGAGCAACAGCAAACAAGCTCAAACAAATTGATGTATTTGAATTCGTTCATAACAGTGATTGCAAGCTAAGATCTTTTTCTAGTTAGTGTAACTAGATGCATTTTTTATTAGGATGGAAGTGATATTGTTCGAGAATTTCGGCGCGGCTCATGCTGATAGCGTTCGCCGTTTTCTACCATCATCAGCAAAGGTTCTTCGAACGGAATGTCTTGAAGATGCCACTCAGCCAACGATAGTCGAGTTTCTGATAGGATTGGCAAGAAACCATAACCTGCTTCCGTCTTGGCAGACCACTCTCTTATCTCATCAGGAATTCTTTGAGAGTTTGAAAGTTGTCTGCGCCCGTTTAAATCAGGAGGAACATGGAAATTTTTCGGTTTCGACGTCGGATGTTATTTCCGCTCAGGTCAACTACTTTCTCGGCGAAGATAATCCAAAGACCATAGGTTACAAGTGTGTACAGTAGATTAATCATTTTAATTAAATCGTTTCAAAGTTGTAAGCAGATAGGCTTAGGCGATGCGTACGGTGTCTTCGTATTTATATTGTAGTTACACATTTAAGGACACCCTCCGGGTAGACGATAATAATATGCAGTAAAATTTTTCAGGTTTTTCCGGAACAACGACTTAGTTACTGTGTCCTTTTTTTTCTATTAATTTGTACACTGTGTGTCAAATGAGGATCACATACGTTGATGGACATATTCGCAAACCTACCTACCTTGAACATGTTTCACATTGAGATCTTCAATAGAATTGTTAGTCGATTATTGTCCGGCCGCTTACTGAGCATCATCACTTAGTTAAACTATGAATTAGATTCAGTTGTATTTACTTGTCGTTGGTGGAACCGATATAATTCGATTTCAGCTATAATAGTACAATTTGGAGTTTGAGAGCGGCGCAAAACATTTTTGTCATGGCAAGGCGCAGATTCATGCTCAATTGACAATTGGGCGCTTTGTTTCGGAGCAACTTAAGAAAATCACTTATATACTCTTATTTTCCACAACGTAATCATTCAAGAGCGTTACTCTTGGCGCATACAGCTGGCGGGACGTAATCTTCGTCCGGCGAAGTTCAAGCTATTTATTGGACAGGCGCTCATACAAGCACCTTTCTACAGCGTCCTAAAGTGTTTGCCTTCTTAGAAATTATTGTACGAAGAGTGTGTGTATCTAAAGGAATAGTTTTACATGAAATACCGAAACCTTTCCAGCGCTATATGCATATATATATAGACCTAAAAAAGATAATGGCAAGTCACCATATTGTATTTATTCGGAACGAGGAACCATTACTGTTGCTATATGATATAAACATAATCATGAAATACTCCACATTGACGTAATACAAGTATTCATTGAAACTTTTCAGAGCTTTCTTAAAGGAGTGCAATGTTATAGATCAGTTCGGCCTACTTCGTTTGCTAGAGAAAAATCGAACCGTTGTGGACGCAAGCCTCAATATGTCGTTTATCATCGAGGGTACTCTACGCACCGACTGGCACAAGTCCGTCGTCAACTTCCTTGCTAAAAACAAAATACTGAAACAATTGCAGGTCGAACTTCCCGTCGATGGCGACTGTAGCGAAATTTTGGAAAATCAGATTTTCTTCGAAAACGTCGATATCCTTACACCCAAGGACGTTCCAGTACAAAAGCACTCGCAATCCTTATCGTACGCGCTAGCTATCCTTAAATCATTTTTAAACCTTCTAGTCAACAGTCGCGATGAGGTGTCTATATCTTGCGCTCTTGCCTGTCCTCTAGTCAATCTTGGACACACCGCATTTACTATAATAAAACGGTCTTCTTCTGAAGTAAAGTCGCCTATTTACCAGTTTGTGCAATCCTATGTTATGAAGAAGCGGTTAGGTGGGCGTGGTTATGCCCCGGTAGTTGATTGTCCTGTCAAGGCCTACTTGAAGGAAATGACCGAATTCATTGATATTATGGACAGGCTGCAGACCTTTATTGAAGAATACCCAGCTGCTGTAGCTCTAAATAAAATCGTCAACTGTGTACTTACGCGCCTTTCCAAATCTATTCAGCAGAAAGCTTTCAAAAGTTCGATGGTAGACAAAGCTAGAGAAATCGTGCACGTACTGATTGAGCGTGTCAACAAATGTGATCAAACTGATTTGAACGTTGCTCCGGGCATTGTTGGCCGAGAGGCAATCCAAATGGTGCGAACGTTAGCTGACCAGTTGTCAGGCCTTGGGTATTACCAGAAAGCTGCTAAAGTCCTTTGTAGTCCGTTTTCTGCAGCCACTCCAAGCAAAACGCCGGTAGGTTCGCAGACCCTATTCAGGCTGTTCAAGTCGCCGGAGGAAGTCAAGGAGGACGGACTTGTGTCACTAGCCAAACGAGCACCTCTACCTGTAGTACGACCAAATCCGGTCATGTCGTTTAGTGTTCGCTACGAACCGGAACCGATGAAACGATTCACCGATGACCTCGATGCCGTCACAGACACTTCAAATCAAGCTGAATCTGGGGCTGGGTCAATGGAGCCATGTAATTTCATTACTAGGACTGTGGCCAAAACGGAATATTTGACCATTCGCAAAGCAAACATTTCGACACCTGTCCTTAAGCGATCTGTGAAACGAAAAGAGGTCACAGCGAGTGCGGGACTCAAAAAGAAACTGAAATTGGTTTCGGCTAACGATCCGGAAAATCAGCTCCTAAAAGTAAATCCTGAAAAAAGACCGAAAAAAGCTTCTAAAACCAAACAATCCAAGAACGCTGTGCCTCCCAATCAGCGTACACTAAATGCGTTTTTTGTTAAACTTTAACCAGCAATTCCAGGGACGTCCTTTGTGAGCAGAGGTTTAACTGTCATTGGCGATCAAGTCTAAGTTGTGATTTATGGAAATGTAACAGTCGTGCTCCGCATCCCAGCGTTTGGTCATCCGATGGAACTACCTACATAAGCAATACTGGCCAGTGGCCACGCTTGCTGGGGGCTCATCGTTTGACAAGTAAATAAATAAATGGAAATATAAGCAAACAAATCAGTTTGTATGATGTATAATTTTAGGTAGCTTGCGGAAATCACATATCGCACAAAGACTTTCCGTGCAGTAGAGACCTGAGTTAATTATTATTGACGCCTGTAAGAGTAAATATTAATTGTACCAAAATAAAAGCGTGTATATCCCACATAAAAGTGTGTGCCTGTTTCGATAACGGTATCTTTTTAGAACTTCGTTAAATTTCAATCATTTGCTTGTGCTCTGTGTGTTTTTATCAGTAGCAGTTTTTTTGCCACATTCGGAAGGCTTGTTGTTATTTACTCATCAAATGTAAAGACAAATACCGCCATGAGTGTAAATGTGCTTGTATTCACTCGGTATCGTAAAGTTTTACAAATAGAACCCAATTATATATTTACAATGCAAATCGAAAGATACGGCGGGGGCTTCAGCAGGCCACTTTGGCTTACTGATTTGGGTGGTGCTGCTTTTTCGTAAGCATGAGAGTATGTTTTCTAAATGTTGAAATACTGGCAAAAACAATCTATATAAATGTATACGTGCAATTAAATGAGTGGATCAGGTCTTTCCGTTTGCCTCACCATGTTGAGTACGTAGATCAACGTATGTACATGGTACACGATAGATCTACTTTCACTCTTCGAAATGGACTTGGTCAAATTTCCAACACCTGTCATCGAACGAATCATAGTAATTTGCCAAACTGATATTGGAGGCACACGACGAAACCGTTAAATTTTATGAAAAGGATTCGTCTTTATTACACTTCCACTCGAGCGGTAACAGCAAATATGCTACGGCTGGCAGATAATAGTAACCTAATGTTAATAGAATGCTCATTCCCATTTACGAGAGGCCTAAAACAGTACGCCAATCTAAGTATATATTATAGCCTATTCCCATCTATATTTAGATTATGAAGAACATATTTTTCAAGATCAATATACATACACCACGAAGCACTAACGAATAAATTTTGACCGACGACATTGTGCTTCTGAGAATGAGTGGGAGCTTACAGCCAAACACAAATGCAAACCAAACTAGTGAATTATTCTACTTGTAACACTTCATATAAGTATGTAATTGAGTGTAGTCGAATGATAATTGCTTAACGGTCTTCTTTCTTGTTACCGAGCATCTAGCCCGAGCTCAAAATACATATTCTCGTATGCTTTTGTTACCATAGTAACTCGACTATAACAATGCACTCTGGCGTGCTAGCCGCTTATCGGATGAGTTGTGCATTTTGGTAGTTCTGTCGAGTGAAGACTGTATAGGGGAGAGATGGACTCTGTTGATGAATAGCGATTGGCAACTGATAAGCAGGGCCATGCAAAGCTGAAGGCTTCCAGTGTCTTGTTACTGCAGGACGGTGAAACATCACGGTTAAGTGGCTAATTACAGTGCTGTGTTGAGTGTTCTTAGTATAAACTTGGTATTACTTGCGCTTTATTCGTACAAAATGAAGGTTGAGTTGGTGTCTCGTGGGAGATTACCCCCAGATTCGGAAACGAAGATTGTCCCACAGGGAGGCGAGGTTGGTATTGTCATGAAAGCCACTTGCATATAATTACAAGATTTGACACAACTAATAAAGCAGTGGGTAGTAAAGTTTGAACATCATAGTAACATCTGTATGGAAAAGCTGCTTTTAAGATAAGTGCACAAAGGCACGACAGATTTAGTGGCAAGGAATACCATGGGGCTTAAGACGCACTAGCGGGTTGGGCGATATGTCCTTCAAATGTCGAAGTCCGTAGAGCTCTAAACGTTGTTTTGATCATTGCGTTATTGTTTAATGTGAATCATTAATACTCTGTGTCGCATTTTGATCACAAATTCGTAATATTTCTCGTGAAGTGTTACATGGTATCATATCTGGGTAGCGTACAATGCTGATATATGTATATAAGCTAATTTCTAGTAATTCAGTTCTTGGTTTGCATTTTGCTAACCAGCCCAAATGGATCGAGAGAAAAACAGAACAATTAGGCAGAAACTGATAACTTATTACGATTAAATTTTACACCAATTGACTTTCAAAATTCTTCTTCAGTGATATTAACTGTTAATAGCCTGATACGTTTACGGCAGCTGCCGTATCCAGAAAAAAATGAACCTTATTATACTAATTCATTCTTTGCTATTTGAATTTAAAACGTTTTCCTGAGATTAAACTGATAAAAGCTGATGTTGATTTAATATCATTCCTAGGGCTCCAGTTGTATAATCACCCATACCAACTGCCCTAATGAAAACGTAACGGTTTTCAGATGGACGTAACGGTTGAAAGCAATTGGCAAACTTGGCCTAAGTTGTCGGCTAGAATCCACTGAGTTGAACGGCGGTGAACTGGCACAATGGCTCGCTTAAGTTGAGGGCTAGAATAAGAGTACCCTACGCAAGTTCAAATAAGGAACCCGACGTCACTCCTTCATAACTTTCATACTTTGCTTTTTGAGCTCGTTAAATCTCTCGGGGTCCGAGAGACAGACGTTTATATTTGAAGCCGCGTACCGTATTTATGCCTAAGATGCAGAAGCCAAAACAACAGAGGAGGCTGTTAGATATAGGCTTAATGCTAAACATGATAATGTTATTTTTCGATATTAAGCTGTTATTTTGTGTAGGAGAATCGGCCAGTCTTACCCGGCTCTACACAAAACGAAACGCAAATCCTGATACTTAATAATTAAAATTTGAAACCTGAAGAAATCGTAAACTCTGAACTAAAGACGATGCGTAATCTTTAATCGTTTGTGAATTCATTACTTGACACTAGTATTAAAGTGATATCGAAACTAGTGATAAACTGCACGTATAAAAACTAACTTTTCTATTAGTACTCAAATATGTACTGCGAAATCTTTAATGTGCAGATTTCATTATGAACATGTACGATACATGTTGTTATTATGTACATGAAATGTATTTACGGCCGGTGTTATCTAGGGATCCGATCCACTTAAACGCTACGCCTATATTTGCATGGTCTATAATACGCCCCCATTAGCATTTGTATTTCACGAATATCTTATGTATATAGATTGTTTTATTTTTAGTAAAACTCGTAAAGACATTGAATTGAACACTCTGCTTGTAAAATTCTAAATTCATACATTGCTATAAATGTAGATGTACAGACATTCTTATAATTAGCTTTCCATGTTAATTTCGAGTTCGGGTTACTTAGCAATTCATAGCGGAGATGTAATTATGTTTGTGATTAATCAAGTTCTTGACAGGCTCATTTACGCGATTTTACCTCGACTCTTTGAAAGTGCCACACGGATATCTATTGAGATTGTTAACTAATACATACAGTATATAATAAAATAAATGAATAGGCAAGGGTCAAAACTGTTTAGGACTGTAGAGACTACCACTGCAAAGGCCTAGACAATGCTTTTCTGAGCTCCGTGACATAATTCATTTCAGATAAAACACCTTCGGCTTGTCTTTCAACATCAATTTTATAGAATATATATTATTAGGTCGTTACAAGCGAGCTTGGCGGACTTTGAAATTGAGTACCTTTTGAACTAGACGTGCTAGAATGATGAGCTTCCTCCATGTGTTAGAAGTACTCTTTTGTATCCTTACAGTCCTGCACCAGCGCTTTGGTGACTGCCCTACTATTCGTGTTCCTATGTAATTTCTTTATCTATGGCTTCTAGAGCTAAATCGATAGTAGGATATGCTTGCTGACCAGTAGTCCCATAAAACATGGAAAGCCCTGTAAAGACACAGAAAAGTAAGCTGGTTGAAGCGGATGATAGATACTGTTTTGCTCCATTGAGGGAATAATTAAGTCGCGTCGATGAAATCCGCGTTATCATCCCGGTCAGACCGCGTGCTTACGATTGCCATGCTAACGGGCTATAAGTCTCTTGAGGAACTCAGGATAGGCATTTGTTGCTTTATTTTCAGGGAGTAGGTTGTAGTCGGTGCTCCTATTATTCATCGCACCATTCGACACTGTCACCGAACACGATTTCTCCCAGGGCAAGGCCATTCTTTCGGTTGGTCTCTCTCCGGCTACTAGTCGAGATTAAACGATGCTTCACCTGCGGCAAGCGTATACTTGGTATGCGGACCTTCAATATTTGAGTTATGACACGTTACATGTGAAATGCCGGCTGTGACCAGCAGAGCCCTTAGTTCTCAAGCTTTGTCTTCGAGAAAAGCCTCTTCAGTTACGGTGGCGTGTTCCTGTCCCTTATGTCCCGACATCCGGCTATTTTTTTCGCTTATTTTCAACACTCAAATCTCCGTTTTCGTGCGGTTACATTATTCATGTACTGTGTTTAAGGCCTCCTGGTCTTGTTTGTTTTTTTGTCTTATTTGAACCTCCACGGCGTTATGGCTGTTGACGGGCAAAAACTTGAGCACTGAGTATTGAATTCTGAGATTAAAGGATGTCTGCCGTTCTGAAATCGTTTCTTTTGGAGTAAACTACCTCTTTTCACTTACAAATCATTATAAAAATAATTATCGGCTAAATGTCGTCTTCTAGCAACATATAGAAGGCTATTCAATTTCAAACTTCACGGGATTTGTTTGTGACAGCAGAATAGTACATGCATTTTATAATACAATCCTCTGTAATTATTGCACGCTTTATTGAGCTCTCGTCTGATAGCGATGCAAATTTAAATTGCTGTGGACATGGCTCCGGCACTGGGTACCGCATATTCCCCTATATAACTCAATCATTCATACAAACGATGGTCTTCAGTTTGAAAAGAAAAAGATGTCAAGATATAGATTCTGATAAATATTTACAGTAGAGCCTATATCCGCAAGGCTGGCCATTGACAATGATCTTCTCGCCGAGATTTTCTTGGAGTCGCAAATTAAAAATATAGTTTCAAGCTCGTTGCAATCAAAGGGGCCGTGTAGCAAGTGGCTATAATTTGTATAGGTAACGAGTCGGCGCATCCAGCTGTATAATACTTGATATTTTTATTTAAAATAGTTACAATACTTGTTATGCATTCTCTGATATACATTCGTAAAAGACGAATGGCCTGAATAATCAATCTTGCATGCGTTGATGAGGCAGGACCCATAGTGCAATAAGTCAAAAACGAGTAATTTAGTATCGATATACGATGTACTAAGTACAAGATGTACTAAGTAAAAATCATCAAAATTTTACCAATAAATAGGAACGCTTTAAACCGTCTTGCATGTTTTCACTGTTTCTACTATTTTATCCGCCGCAGAGTTGTAAGATCCTTGACCGTCTACAGCTTTTCTGTCTATTAACTGTAATTGTTAACATTTACACCCACTGATAAAGGGGACTTTTGTTGTCTATATATGTGGGGACTCATCGTATGTGCACGTGTCTTTCGACGTGACGTACAAGCGCGTTATAAACACGCCTATTGCACATCTAAACTGTACGATAATGTCATCATAAGGCCACCTCAACAGTGGACTATGTTATTTTAGCGGCAGTCCTTTTTGTAGATGTTTTCAATTTTCATCGATCGGTACGTCTTTATCGTCCTGAGAAATTTGTAGACTTATTCAGGGCCAACTCGTAAAAAGAATTTGCTTCCAATGCTTCAACTTTTTATCGCATTATATTCATATACATTTTGTTTTAATAGTAATAAACTTAACAAATGAATAATACATATTTATTGCTATGCAGTGCATATCCAGTGTATCTACAGATAAATTAGTTAAAGTTGATTTTAGGCGTAGTATTATCAGTGTACCTAGCTGGTCGAACTCGTCCACGTTCCTCGACGCAAATTTCTAACGCCAAACCGATGGAGCCTATACACAATCCTTGTAGTGCCTTTTCCGCTTCCCTCCTTCATTCCAGATTGCTATTATTTGTCCTGTAATGGAAATCGGCAAAATACATCTAGCTATTTCTAGAAAAGGGATGTGCTTTAGGCGAACGCGTCTAGTAGGCCTAAGCGTACCGTATAGAGCTGACATGTTTCAACAAATCTTGTGTTTGTTGTGCTTTTTAGTATGTGCTCTATACAGTTACAGTTAGTAAGAATTATGTTTTTATTAGTAATAAGGACGTCGGACCATACATGTTATACACTAATAAGGCCAGATGTAAGTTCCACACTAAGCTACATGCTTAATGATCGTCCATGTTCTTGTGTAACAACAAACGATACCCAACGTTGCGATACTCCATTTATCCACTATTGGAGTTTAGAGTAGTGTCCGTACGAAACAGTGGAGTAATATGATTGCGTCTCCTGTCGGGATAAATTGCAGGAGTCGATCCTTGCAGTGAGCCCCCGTTCAGTGACACTTCTGGAAAAGGATCAGCGTGTAGTACGACTTACTCGAAAAATGGCTTTTCTCACAAGAGCGACACTCCTCACCGCATCAGAAACGGGTAGGTCAACTCCTGGCAACGATAGCAATATGACAGCAACAAGGCGAGCATGCTACATCAAGTCAACGAGTAATTCTAATTTATTTATTTTAATCATACACTTTTTCGCCTACGGATGCACTTTTAAATTGCAAATAAAGAAAAAGGCTGTTTCCAGATTTATGGAATGATAGTTCTAGTCCTCATGTCATGGTTCTTTACGCCTCTGCGTTACGTTTAAGAAGAGCTTTTAAAGTAAGAGCTGCGGCCATCGATTTCATTTTACTGAACAGTGTAATACACTCACATAGGAAATCTACTTATTTTTGTATTAAGAATGAATTTACTGATTGACTGCGGCATCTCTTTCATTTCTGATGAGACTAACGATACGATACGATAGTCGTAACAAGCGTAGTTAATTGACTATAATTATTGCACTGTTCTAACCCAGTGACCTTCATGTTTTGGGTAATACGAGTTATTTTTATGCATTATATGTGAAGTCGCTACCATATATATATAGGTAGGCTGTTCCTTCTGATTTAAAGTTTCCACATCCGTCTGAATAGTTCTCCGCGCTCATATGACTATTGTAAGCTTGAAAGCCTGTTATGGCAATTAAAACAACATGAATTTGGTGTGGAAGTGTTTTTTTTTTTAATTGTGTATGCCTGTATGTTTTCATCCGTATAACCTCATGTTCCGAACCGAATTGTAAAATTTTATGGGTATAATTATCCCATTTATTTACAATACGAACATTTTTATTCCTCGTCCGTGATCGGACTTTCATTCAACACGATTGTATTATGCCTTCTTTACATCCTTCTAGGTTGTTGCACTTTTCTTCCATTTTAACAACAAAGTACTTAATGGCCTTCTCTCCAGCGGGCTTCCTCGGTCCCTCCATAGCGATAGCTAGCGTTGAACAAATTTAGTAAATCATAAATTGTTTGACTTATCACGAACGTCTCGGAGTTATGTCTTATAACATATGGTATAATGAATTAAAAACAGTTGTTGTCATATTAAATTTGCTTTTTAGTACAGTCCTTATAACTATAGATACCGTAACGACGTGCCTCCTTCCGTATTGAAATGTCAATTAGCAAAAATTTTTATCTGATTCGTGTCGAGCCGCTTATTTTGTCAGATAACGTTCGATTGCCTCAATCTCAAAGTGATTTCAACGAAGCCTTAGCAATTCATATTGTTTATTTTTTTCATCACTATTTAAGTGATGTATGCTGCCATGTGATGATCTGTTAGAGATAATGCCTGTTTGTCGATAGCGTACTGATATACACAAATATATTTGACAATGAGCAATCCCTAGTCCTCGATCTTCATATGGGTAATGCGCGTACCGTAACGTGTGCTGCACATTCATCCCTTGACGGTCCCTCACGATCGGCCAATAAGTCTCAACTTTTAAGTCCCATTGGGCTACGTATATGGCACCTTAATAAAGGTAGCATGAATGAATCGTAACGGAACATTTGGCATCTTTTACTTTCAACATGCTTTCTTATCCATGTCGTTCCCTGCTATTGTCTGGTACGTTCTGCCTACAAGTCGTGACTATTGGCCGAGTGCAAATAAATGCAGAATAATAATTCCTGCGTCTACTGACGGAAACAGGACGTCTGTTGTTCGAGTTGCTAGGAACAGTTTTGGAGGTCGAGTTCGCTGCGGGCTTGTTGCGCGTTTAATAGGCGGGAGATGGCCATGTGTGCTAACATCAGGCAGTGAAGACGGAATCTAGCTAGAAGTCCGAGGTCCGGGTTGAACCGTATGATCGATTTCATCGCTCAAAGTTGCACTACCGATGCTGGTACTGTTTCTCTTACGACGGCAATAACATGGATGAATTCCGTAGGGAACATCTATTCCGTCTACGATTGAGTTATGGCTATAGGATATCGTTGGGCATCAAGATGTTATGACCAGATAATAGGTACAATTGCCATCAAACCATTATTCTACCTACGGATAAAGCGTATTATTTTATAGCATCTACAATCAAGTCGTCTCTGACTACGGCCGCGGAGTACGGAAGAGACGTGAAGTCGATGCATTTCTTCCAGCGTAACATATTAAATGAACCATATAGGTGCATTTCTGAGGGCAAAAATTGACTTTTTCGCTCGGTAAGCCTGCGCAAACAGAAAGTAGAGTTTGATGCGTATCTAGACTTTTTTTGCTTAAAATTGATACTCCATAAATGAGTTGTTCGATGTAATATTTTACAAAATTCCAAAGTTTTTCGCCATCGAGGGGTACTTAATGAAAAACTAAAAAATCTACAGATCCGAGGTCTTAATTAACTGAAAGGAGTATATCTACACAGGTAAAATCGTTGCAATATATAAGAAAAGGCTCAGCCACTATTATGAATCTGTCTCCTGTGACCTTTCCAATGCTTCAAAAAATATATGTTCGATGTAAATGCTTTTCTATAATTGCTTCTCATCTAAAAAAAATGTTATAAGTAAAAACAAAATTTATAAAACATTCGACTGCTAAAATGTGCTGGTTATCGAAATGTCGAGCTTTCAGTTACAACGTCGAATGTAGAATCCGGCCGATGGCTCGGAGTTGGCTGGGTTGTCCGTAGTTTAGTGGTGTCCCTATTAGCAGAAAAAGTGTTTCAGTGAAGAGGCGTTAGTAATGGGGCGGGAGGCTATTGTCGAGATTCCGTTATTTGGCCTATATATAACATAGTAAATGCACTAATAATAATAAGATGTTCTTATTTTAGGTAATTATGTCGCGGGGGTTACGGAAAATGGACAGCTGTTTCGACTTCGGGAGCTTCATCAAGCCCAATGGATTGATTCCCCCGGCCTCGAAAAAAATAAAGGTGCAGACTTGCTTGCACAAAGGCAAGGTTTTAAAGTAAGCTAAAACAAGGACTTGTACGGTTTCACGGCCTAGATAGAAGGCTGAGCCGTATGCACACGTGTGCACAACAGGAGAAGCGTTGCAGTTTCGATACCTACGTCTGTTGTTTATGGTCTCGTCTAGTAAATGACCTTAATATTATTTGGCCATACGGTGCTCGTCAAAAAGAAATTGCTATATGCGAGCGGTAACATTATGATGAGACGTTTTAGCGAGAATAAATTGAGCTCTGCGTTTCCACGCTATACGAATACGATGCACGAGGCAGTCGCAAAATAGACTGCGATTCTATTGCTTAGCAATTGCCGCAGAAAATGCTCTGTAACATATCGTACTTCAATGCCCACAAGTATCATAAGTCAGAATCCCGCCAATGACGTCTTCGGACTTTCATATGATCTCCAGTTCCAGGAGGCCAGATGCCAATGTTAACTGTGAGAATGCGGAAAAGATAGAAAAAAAAACCTAAATTCGCGCAACAAATTTGGCTTTTTTGTCCTGCACACGTTAAACTGAAAGATAGATTACAATAAAATTTACTACAATTAACAGAACAAATTCTACCTAGTTCGTTATTATACACATGTAAGTTTCAGTATATACCTGCGGCCCAAATTATTAGTCGGGTAAAAACTTGACAATATTTTATCACTATTACTGTGTGGTGCGTTTTAAACTGTAAGAAACAATTTCTACCGTTACTTACCGTTTGTGGGGCGAATTACAGCTTGTAGGAACCTATATAGTGGATATGGAGAGATAATACAGATCTGCGTAAAAACACCAGTTGTTTGCCCTCCATCGCTGTATCCGTATACAGTGTAGTAGACCGATAAACCATCTACACGCTATAAAATTGTTAAGGGGCGCGCAAAAAAATAGACATTTTCAACTCAGTCTGAGCTCATCCGAAACGGCAGCTTGACCTGCACTAACACTACATGTGTGTGTTAAAAAGTATTATTTACCATTTGAACAACTACAGGTTCTCTCGAAACAGTAACTTTACCCTTTTTTTTTCGCGGTTTCAAATTCTTTCTGTACCGCGAGCGTGGTGGCACTAGCCTTAATAATATTATTATGATGATAATTACAGTATGACGAGCTAAAGTTAACTTTAGAATGAGTAACTAAAGGTGTTTTCAATTCAAATTTAAGTTATCTGAATAGTAATCGGTCGATTCATATAGCAAAAGAACACACGCGGCGTTAGTTATCTAGAATTGAAGCAGTTGCATACAGGTTGCTTCTACTGACTATGTACTATTAGGCTTTCCCCGTTTATTTACTAGATACTTTTTTTTACGACGTAACTAAAAGCTCGAGCGGGGCAACATCACAATGTAAGATTGTTTGTAAGCCGCAGCATGTAGCTAGCCATTCCGCCTGTGGACGTTTTTGTTCCAAAAGTACTCTTGCTTAACGCCAAACCGACATTGTGGTCCTACAGCCTTTAACTAAGCGATGCTCGAACCAAGGCCTTCCTGTATAGGAGGTCGCTGCAAAGTGGCTGGTTTGTTGTTACCGACCGATAAACGTACCTCCGCATCTGGGTGACTGACGCTTTTGTTATGGAAACGATCGTGCAACAACTGGGCCATAAGTCTGTGCATGGGTCTTTTTTAATGCCGAAGCTGAGGCTGTTGTCGTTAACATCAATCGAGGCTGAAGGAGTTTCCAGTTTGAATTAAAAATTTACATCAGATAAAGTTTGCAGATAAAGTTGCGTGAAGAAGGGTTGCGCTGGTAACGGAATAGATCGTATCAAATAAATTAAAGTACATACACATTTCCCACACGCGTTAGTAGACACACACGACGTACCCAGATATGACCAGGAGAGTCTCTGATAAAATTACTATCTACTACAGTAGATAGAGGATGGACATAAAGAAGAGCAAAACATCCCGGAAGGACGCTTTATTATGTAGTAAATAGCGCATAAGAAGAGTAGCCTGTGTCAAAATATTATTTTTCTTATCAATATCGATTACCTTAAGGACAAATATCTACACTCAGCTATGTAAAATCTTAAATATGAACGGATATGCTAATTAACACTGCACGAAGTTGTGTTGGCTGAGTACATCTACCGCCATTTTATTGTATTATATAATCTCTAGTTAATCAGTAAATATTATGATATATATATATATATATATATATATATATAGTAGACTAATAGATTTTCTATATAGTTTGTTATATATTTATCTTGCCACACCGCTATACATGCATAGAGATGTGCCGTCTGTAATATGATGGCCAAGTCAGTAGATTTATTTGGTTTTTAAACATCGTCAGTAGTAGCATTGATGTTCACGCGATAGCGTGTGTACCTACTAAAGTTGAAGAAACGTGCTGATCTAGGTCTAAATAGGGGTGTGAAGAAACACGGTGTAGACCAGCTGCCTCAAGTCGTATCTAACGGTTTAAGTTTTAAACGTAAAAAAAATGTTTGTTGCACCATTGAGTCCTATCTCTCGAAAACAGCCCCTCCTTGAAAATGCAAAAATTTTTTCTTTGTGGTCAACTAAAGTTTTGTCTCTGTCTCGAATGGACACAAGTGCTAGTGGATGGACACAAGTGGAATGCTTTTGCCATAAAATATAGAAATATTAAATGGTAGTTTTCAAGTGATAGTTGTCTAGAACAAACTGTGAAAAAGCGTCTTTTGAGATAAGGTTTCGTCGGGAGTTGACTTAGTGTGAAATCTCACAGAATTAGATGTTGAAATTACATAACATTTGAAATTTTAGGAGATTGGACATGAAATAAAGAAAGAAGAACATCGATTCGCTCAATGGCGTAGCAGAGATATCTTTTAAATAACGTAAATCCAGCCTTCCCTGAAGTAGATACTCTTAGAATCATCGAAAATTCAAAATCTTGTTTTATACTAATATAAAATGAAATCCAATTCAGCAAAACACGTACCTTCAGTACTGCCAGCAGATTTTCCATTTAGGTTGCGCTATTCTGTGTCGAAATACATCCTTCGAAGGGAAGCATAACTTCAGATGCGCAGTTGTATCATTGCAACCGATCGATTGGAATCGTAGTCATTTACTTTGTTCTCTTCAGGCGGTGCATAGAAGCTAAACTGGACGGAAGGCACTTTTCTAAAGAGTAGCTTCTTGCTAAATGCATACGTCTACACTAAATAACAATTTTTTAACGACATTCAGCGAAAAAGAGAGAGTGTGTAAAAGAGGACGGACACGTAATCCGTGCTGTCAGAGTAAAATGTGCGAACGTTATTGCTGACCGTATAGAAGAGGTATATGTTTATCAGTTAACGCAGATATACGTAAGCGAAACGGCGGAATAAGCACTTGAATGGTCTTTCTATTCGATGATAAACGAGCAAAATTGGACCATTAGTTATAACAATGTGGAATTCCCAAAGAGGATTATTCGATTCTATCTTGATGCAAAGGTCGAATGCGAGCTCAAGCTTTGTCACGAAAGGCCGTTAACAGTGCTCACGGACAAATATGGGGGGCGGCAGCAGTAAATAAACTCACGCATAGATACAGTAGTATCTAATTTTCTCATAATAATCTACGATCATCGGGGTATATTCCCGAAAGGTTTCAAAGCAATTGGTTAAAGGCATCTAATTTAAGAGGCCAGAGCTTTGGCAGATTACCTCGTGTGTTATTCACCCTGTCAAAGCATCAGTCTACGATTCTATACTGGGATGGGTTTTTTTTTTACCTTTCAGCTTCCATTGTGCTTCTCCTGTTCGTCTGACTTCAGAGTCTTCAAAGAGAACAGATTATTATAAACAACTAAAAATCGCTGCTAAAACCACTAGAAGAGTATCTCATATACTTTATTTAAGAAAAGCTTTGATGGTCAGGAGGACTAGCTCTACTGAACTAAGAGAAAAGTTGGGGATCAACCGAATATTTCAGCGTCAGTCCAGGTTTATTTGCCTTCTGTTTGTATGCATTTCAGCCATTTGTCAATAGTAAGAATTCATAATGTTTACAGCAAAGAAGAGACTGATGTTATGTATACTTTGCCAATATTTCGCTTCAGTGGACCAGCTCGCCGTCGACGCAAAAGGAAATCTTCTTGTAAGCTGTGGAGAACTAACAGTATATAAATTCAGCGCACAAACCCTTTCTTGGGAAGCGTTCGCGTGTCCCTTTGTGGCTTCAGTAGCGGCCACGATTCGTTTCGGGGGCTGCGCCGTTTCCAACGAGAGCGACGTACATGCGACGTTCGCTTGGCTCCTCGATGATAACCGACTCATCGTCTGCAACATAGGATACAAATACCTTGACAAGGTATATGAAAAAAATATGATGCCGCCTTCATATCTATCTAGTGAAAAGACGCGTTGAAACTCATGATTATCCGCAATGCATTTTCTCCTATAATCGATAAACAACCACCTTCTCAGCAGTATTCTCATGAAGTAGCTCGCTCGAGTGAATGCTTCGATCCTTACGACCAGTACAGCATTGATAAACCATTGTCTCAAAGGGCTGAGCCTCTCCAGCACGAAACATATTGTATCTACCCTGGGCCTCGGACCCCACTCAGCTCGCACGTTTTCGAGTTTAGCAAAAAAGCACTTCACCACTACACTACCATGGGGATGCGAAGTAACTAACTAGAAACTAGATAATAGTACCCCTGATTGAACCCAATGTCCCTTGAGGAAGATACGATCCGATGACAAGCCAAATTTATTAATAAAGTCTGGCCACGTATTAATAACATCATACACCGATCAAATCTGTTGTACTTCAAACAGAATCAGTGGCACCTTCGTGACCCGTCACAATCACTGTTTTCGTGCTCGTCATCGCTTTCGCCTTCGCCCGACCTTTCGTGCTTGTTGATGACATCCCCGTCGTCGGTTCACCTGATTCACAATTCGGCCGCCTTACCTCACTTCCGGCGAGACTTCACCGAAGAAGCCGTCGTCAACGCGACCTGGTGTCGAAACTCGGAACTAATATTAATTTTATCGCCGGGAGGCAAGCTGGCCATTCTCGCTAAGTTCATGAACAGTCTATTTGGTTTCGAACAAACTGGGAACGAGCATGGGGTTCCGGACAGCTGGATGCATGTTATAAGCGTAGAAGTGTAGGTGTCGTATACGTAGCTATTGTATAATATATCGTTCAAGTAAATTATTTCATGCTTTTTCAGACGCAAGTGACCTATATCCAACTGTCAAAAATAGTCTAGTATTTATTTGTCTCTTAACAATCACGTAATTCCATAAGGACTACTCTGATTTTTGAGCAGTACGTCATAGAGTCGTTCTTGGCCCATTTTAACTACACGTTATTAGAGTAGGTACAATTTTGCCATGGTTTATCGTCGATCATCATGCAATCAAGCGAACGGTTTGTTCGAAATGACATAAGGATATGTCAAAAAAAAACATGTCTTATGCTCCTACTGTATGTTCCGACGATGATTTACCACGATTCTATTTTCGAGTTAGCTAGTACACGGCTACTAATCAAACAAAAACAAAGCTATAGTCGTCTAGCTCAAAGGCCAAGGCCAATGTTAATTTGATCAGCGACTCTCAACACGTAACGAAACTCCTTATTGGGTTAAACCAAGTCATCTCTTGCTCAGGCCTGTCGTGATTTTAGCTTAGAGTATAGCATATAGAGGCTGAAGCGATTCGGGATGGGCAAGCATGGTAGTATAACATAGGAGTCAAAAGTACAAGTTTCAATACAGCGCGCAGGGAACAAGTTATGCAATGGTAATGGAGCCAAAATGTTGAAGTGATGTATGGCAATATAGAAGCTATTCCGTAGGCGACAACTGTGAAAAAAATCAGATAAAGTAAACGGCCTAGTCGGATTTCGCTGAATTAAAGGCGCTGTTAATTGAAGTTCATTGGCAAGCGAGAGAAGAGATGTCTCATCATGTGCTGCAGCCTAGGCATGAGCCTATCCCTGGGAAATGTGTATAAGCCAGATCGCCACCCGTGCGCAAGCGTGGGCATGCAGGCGTCATAGCGAGCACGTCATTTTTAAATCGGAACATATACTGAACTACACCCAGTTAATGGCCTGTATTGAATTATAAAATATATATATAGGGGTGAACCAGTCGAACTACGACCGCTCTTGGGCACAACGACAGACTCGATCCTCGTGTGCGGTCAGGACGTTTTATCGATCTCCGTGGAAACCTCACGTCACACGCGATATCTAAGCCGACTTCTCAGTGCACGACCACTTTGTATATCAGTGCTTAGCGAGTTATGCCTTCATCTGGCGTCTATCAGGTTACTACGGAAGGAACATGTCATTCTCCTTGCAATTGTCCGAAGGAACCTGAGCAGGGGCCTTGCGCTGACCAAACCTGGTAAATAATAACTCATTTTATTCTGCTCCTATGTCCGTATAAGTTCAAATAACAGGTCACCCCCATTTGGCATCTGTTAAAGTCAGGCTGATCATATTTAGTGTAGTGCTATTGACGCTGGTCTTGATTTCACTTCATCTACCTTATACAGATCAACTCGAGGAGATCAGCCGTGTTTTATGTAACGTGTTAGAATGGGCAGTCCAGCTGGAGTCAATGCCAGTTGTGAAATTGATGGTATTCGGATTACGTCGCTTTATGAAAGCTGATAAGCGTAAGAAATACCGTGATCAGATGTTGGATCGATACAAGATCGCACTTCGGACGTTTGAACAAGGCGGTGGTACGCTGCATACCCGACTGGAGCGATCGAAATCCCGAGGGGCACCGCCAAGACGTCGGAGAGCAAGCAGCATCACGGAGTGTTTCTATAATGGTGATACGCCCGGTGCAATGAATTGTCTTCTGCAAAATCCTGGTAAGGTTGGACCGCTAGTAGAAATTTGTGTGCATAAAGTTAACCCCCAGCAGCAGTTGCTTTTGCACTTCAGTAAGTCGAATTCAGTAAATGAACTGGGCGTGAATTGAGTTTTCGCACATAAATATGCCACAAAAACCAATCAGCTTACTGATAAAATGTTTATAGAGCACGTTACAAATGAGGTAAGTTTGTACTTTTATTAGATATCTGCTTGCTTCGTTTTTCACGAATGTTCTGTCATAGAAATCTGGCGTTGCACCTATTCTTTTTTGTACTCTCAGATAGTCTTTTCTGTGAAAACAAGTCCTCGTAACCACCTTTTAAATGCAGCATCAAGAAGCTACCGCGTTAGAAGGGATAGCCGGGGTGGGTATGGCTCAACTTATCTGAATTTTTCTTCGGCGAACTTACAAAATGGCGTAGTAACATAGCAGCAACTATTAACCCAATGTTCACATCCTGTGTAGTTACTATCTCATGATAGTTTAGGGTAAATAGCTTTGCAAAGATTAAGCTTTGAAGTAGCGCGGCTCCATGCTTGTTTGTTCACTATTACAACTGTTGGCAAAGTGCTAAAAGAGGTGTGCGTTAATCAATTATAGCACTGAAGCCCCTCGTGTATTTGAAAGCACTATAATATCTATAGCAAAATGTAGCTATTCTCATTATCAGTTCAGAACTTTTTTTCTATCGCTAATACAAGGCTTAATCTTTTATCTAATTTCGTCTGCTTTGTAGAAATATCTTCGCAATCCAAAGAATTCCTCCGACGTCTTTTGGAAACAAAACAGGAAACCCGGGCTTTTGAAGCTCTTATGATTGTCCTCGAATCTCAAGGGACTCAACTGTTTAAGACTCTGCCGAAGTCGTCGAAGGTTCGGCACTTACTGAGGATGTTTGCGTCTAAAGTGAAACAACCTTCAGTCGTACGTATTCCACTTTTCTTTCCTTTAATCTCTTATCTATTCTATAACAAAACGCCCTTTAGGGATTTGTCGTTTTTACGGAATTGTCGGAAGGTATTACATGGTATACGTTAATCACTTTTATTTTCTCTAGTTCGTTAATCGAGTTCATCAGGTGTGGGATCGAAGGCTAAGTTTGCATGGCGGATTTCGTTACTTCAAGATTACTAGATATCGACTCTTTGAATGAGATGCTGGTTAACTTGGGCAAGCAAAAATTAAGGGAAGAGGCATTGATATACTTTTGGATTTTTTCTCCGAGAAGGTGGAAGATGGATGAACAAATTTTTCAATACAACCATTTATAATATATGTCACTTTTGCGTAAACGAGCAAAGCGGCTCTATACTGGGACAGATTAGATAAGTAGATATTCTCTTCTGAGGAAGAAGTAAGCTCGGCCGTACCATGTATATAGCACTGTCTATCTCATGGCAAAAATGTTATTATTATATATAAAATTAAAGGGAAACGTCAAGTTACTACACACAAAAGTTTGCCATACACCGCAAACTTATAAAATTAGTAGAGTGTGGACTCGAACCAAAACAAATCACCTGAATTCTAGACAGGATATATATCTATTGAGACGAATGAGGATTATTTCCAGCTGCCTGCGAAGGGTGCTTCTCGGCCTTTTGATATATATTTTATATGAATTCGGTCTGCGAAGGCGCATCTCTCAAAATCCTTGCAGGTGATAATAAAATCTATTCATGAGTCAACCACAATGAAGCCCATTACAGACTTTAAGGTGTATGAACAATTCTAATTTTGAACCCGAACTTTTAGCTTCATTCTGTTTGTTGGAAAATGTGTTGCCGTCCAGATCGGGCGTGGAAATAAAAGGTGTTGGGGAAATTTACTCTGCGAACAATGAATGACACGCGTTCGCAATCTACAGTACCTTTACAGCTCAAGTATTCGAAGCATACCGTTGAGATTGTTATGCTTGTCTATCGTAAACAATATTAGATCCTGAGAGATTGCGAATTAAGCAGTCATACATGTGATTTATACGTATGATATTGGTACGTATAGCAGCTTTCCCAGACGTAAAAAGGGTAACATATAAAGGTTGGAAACAAATACGCCCATTGAATAGTAGCAGTAAAATGAAATGGTCCTTTCCATAGCAACATTGCAAATCAATATGATGACAATATTCTCCAAAAATATAGTGCATAAATCATTAAAATCAGAGGTTTAATCGACTCAAAATTATTATTATCAATATCAGGGTTGGAAGAAACGTTCTGTGAGGGACAACGGCTAAAAATGCTTCTAAAAAATCTGTCCTTTTAAAAACTAACTTCAAAAGTCTATGCTATTTATAGCGTAAATTTCGAATTAAGTGCATAATATAACTACAGGAGACCTTTCGTTTAAATGTATCACTCCACCTACATCTGTTCTTTCAGGCATTGGAGCTGTTATTCTTATCAGGTTTTTGGCGTGACGCGCTAAAATTGAGCGAAAACTTGAGTCTTCCACTGCTCGAAGCGCTTTTCGCGGTTAGCCTCAACGAGACTAGACGCGCCGCTGGAGGCCTACGTGACCTAATCCTGTTACGTTTACACGAGACTGGTATGACGACTTTTGATTATAATAAACGTTTTCTACAATATATAAGCAGGTGTCTTGCTATCATATTAATAACAAAATGTGTACTATTTTTTTTTAATCACCTTACTACTAGCATGAAGTTCTGTTTATTTCCTAAAAATACCTACCTCGTAACAGGCTCATGATTCTTTTTTTTTTTTTTTAATTAATTCACTGATACTTCAATGAGTCTGATGTAAACTAGAAGATAAAAAAACAGGTGTCCCGTTGGCCTCGGCTAACTTGTTGCCCTCTTGCAGTTATTTATTCAACTTCTTCTAATATGCTCGCCCGGGCGCCCAACCAAGTCATTTCGTTTTATGACATATTGACTTTTTGTGCGTTTTTTACATTACAATGTGATTACGAAGTCTCTGTTGTTGGCTAATTGTTATTTTCGGAAAGTACGCGGGCGGGTAGGCTGCTTATCTGACCTCTAAGAAACGTTCGTAAACTGACCCTGTGATTGATTCTGTTTCCAAGATATAATCAAGCAAAACATAAGGATTTTTTCATATTTCTGTTAGCAATAGTCACATATCTTTGTTTTTCTGGCATTTTTCTTTTAAATCTTTTTTTGATAAAAACAAAAAAAATTAGCTTTACATTCGTTGTTTTAATTTTGAAGTTGATAAAAATATCAACTTTCAGCTCGTCATGATCTATCATTGACGTTAAAAAAAACCTCTCTTACGTTAAACAACATATTGTGGGTTCACCTTTAAAATCAGCGTGTTTTGCTGATAATTGAAATTCCGGTGTATGAATATCGCAACTCAACTCGTCGAGAGCTTTCGATTGGCACTAAAAAATACCCCTTTTACGTAGACCTTCAGGTTAAAATTTTTAATATACTTGACTCAATTTGTCAAAATTTGTTGATCAGCGCAAAGAACCAGCGTCAACAATGTGATGCTTTATGTAGTGAAAAGGTCTTCGAAATTTTAATACGTCTATCAGAAAATCCTGAGGGGATATTTTTGAGAGAAAAATACTCAATCAAACTATTGATAAAGTCAGCCGCTGCAGCCTTTCAACTGACACTTATCAGAAGTCGCTTCAAAAAGCCATTACATTTAGTGCGAAACGCATTTTTACCCAATCGTTTCGTGGGCAAGACAAACTGTTCAATGACCATTTGTCCGCCGAAATATCCATTTTAACTATAAAAATATGTAGAGCATTTTCATTCCGCTCGACAATAGTTTTCGGCTTGTTTCAAGCACGATCCCCTGCATAAGCCCCCATGTAAACATTTGTCTAGCAGTAAGAAACATCTCTCTCCAAAAACTCTGCCAAAATATAGCCCACCTTAGCCCCTATAGCTTTTTTTTTATAGTTATAAAATATTCCTGTAACAAACACGTTTAAAAAAGGCAAATATCGCAAAATAAACAATTCTATTAAATAAACTTCCTTGGGGAAAAGAGAACTTATCCAACTGGTTTCCTCTTGCGCGGAGCGTTATTCAAAATAAAATGCTAACGACCGCAAAAAGTAGCCAGATAATTTGGGTTGTACAAACTAACAGATGCAGAAGTTTAGCAGTGTACAGATAAAGATATATAAATGTCCAGTGTTGATATTATATGCAAATAACTTATTATTAGTTATAGTTTTGATTTGTATGAGCTCTAAGTCATTATATATGTGTATATATATATATATACATATATATATATATATTTCAAGTGTTTGAATGCTTTCTAAAAAAAAGTCAACAAATATCTTTAATCAGGATATTGGGATGAGCTGCGTTAGTTACAGAAATTATACGATAGGCGTAATTAAATAATTTCTCTTCAAAACTTCGACTCCTTATGCGTCTGTATAATAGCTTTGTACCTTTAGTAGTATCCCGCTAACAAAAAGTTAAGTCGATTTCGGGGCTCTTTTGGAAATAGCTGTCAATTGTTTTTCTTTTGAATGTCTATTGAGAAGGAGCTGGGCTGGATGATTATTTTTGGCACATATTTTCTTTCGAATTTCTCTCAGGACTAGTTGCAAATTCTCATTTGGATGCTTTTCAGCATCTTCCTTATAGATGTCTAGTGGAATTTGCTTTCCGCTTACCGTGAAAGGGGGAGTTAATAACAAAAACAGTTAATAAAAAAAGGTGAAATAAATATCAGCCAGAGCTGAGTCGAGACAGGAGAGTAAAGCTAATTCTAATAGTAAACACTAATTTTTCTGTGCAACTCTATTATACATTGGCGTTCGAAACGCAGTCAGATTTATCTGAGCTAAATATATCAGTGTTTTAAGTAACCATATGGCTTCGTCAACATATATGGATAATGTCGACAACGTTTGGCGTTTATGACAAATATAATAATAGTTGTAATTATTTTCATAAACGTCCCAATTAAATTAACGTCACGTTGATTGCATGTTTTTTTTGCTTAACATTGTTCCAGATGGTGAAATTTGCGATGCGGTCGCGGTGCCTGTGTCAAACTTGCTTCGGCTTCATCCGACTGCGGCCGATGAACTCTTTATCGACGGCCTCGATCTTCTGCTCAACGAGTTTCTTCAAGAATCCTCGCGGAGTTCGTTCGACGCACCTCATACGACACTTTTGATGGTTGAGGTATTCGCCGAGATTCCGGGTCAGGTAGTCGATTTTCTGCCTTGTCAGCTTTATATTTTTAGGTTTCAATAAAACCAGACACCTCCACGTTCAATCTCGCCGAAAATTTTTGAGGCATATAAATTTTTTTTTCCAGCCGTCACGATTGCAGCTGATATGTCGGTCAATCCAACTGCTGTTGCTCTGTAGCGAAGCCAGTGGCCATTTACTGGACCAGCTGGCTCTTTCACTTCATCACGCTGACGACTCGGGTGGACCTCGGGAAGTTGCCTTGTTGAGATGTTTCGTTAACATGCTATTCTGCTATCAACTACGAAGTCGACTTTTTCAGGTAACAGCACAAGGAGGATCGCGCAGAGTCCAGTCCGTCTCATTAAGCCGAGCTAACCTTTTGTCTCACGGCCTATGTATAAGTTTAGACAAATACGAAAAAGAGTAGTTTTTCTTTACAACTTACAAGTATTTCTCAACAAATGGTTTCGTTTATAACCGCATAATTACTTCTTGAAAGAGCTCCGTATGTGTTATTCATTACAGGTGTCGTATACTGACTGAGTCAATTTCGAAGGCAGAAGGTTGGAGAACAAATTGGGCTCACAATGCAGAAAATATTAGCTTTACTTTCACAAAAAAATGAGCTAGAGGTTCACGAGTAGCCTAGTTGTAAACTTATCCACTTTTTGGTTTCCAGGATCTCATCCTGCTTAGTAGATCATACCTATACAGATCCACGTGCACTGGTATAGGCCTATGTCCTTGTAGATAACTCCATCGAATGAATAGCGAATGTCTCATAAATGCAACCATTGGCATGAGCAGGCCTTTTACATTGCTGCTAAATTGCGAGCCAACGTCGCTCTCTCAGATGGTCAGAGTCTGCTCCGCCCGACTCCCCTGTTCCTGGGTTGTCGTCTGAACGATGCTCTATTACGATTGACAACGACAAGGGTCGCTTGATGACCCACCTGTGTCGGGTGGGTCGGCCCGATCCGGCGAGTCTTCGGTGAAGCCACATTAGTTACCCTGGGTCTGCAAGCGGCGTACAGGGATATTAAGGCCGAGAGGATACTCCGCCCGTCGAGTATTTGTCAATGCATAGCCGGTGTCTCGTCTTTCTCCGGCTAGTACTACAACGATGTGGGTAGTATTATCGGTGAAAGAGTCAATTTGCGCTCGCTTGTGGTCGCCGAGCCAGTTTCCCGCAACAGGACCGTTTGTTGGGTAGCGGCCGAGCAATGAAAAGCTAATTACGGGAGATCTGGCATCGCGCTGTAGAAAGGCGGAACTGCGTGGCAGCATTTGAAGTGAGGCGGCTTATGCACTGGGGAGTTAACGGCAATTGATATGCTTGACAGGGAGGGGTTGACCTGCTGGATCTTAGATCGAAACAGCACAGATCACCTTTTCTGTAGCTTCTGGCTACGCAGACCTGGATCTCTATTTCAACTGTTGATCAGTACTCCACATCTAGCTGGCAGCATCCTTTCTGTATTATTATTATATATGTGTAATATGCAATGAGACCACAAACATGTCTATCTGAAAATGCTACTATAGACACAGCATAGACAGGCAAACGTTTTAAGGAACTAATATTCTTTCTTATGTAGTCGGAACCGTGTGTATCGAGTAAGCTAATGTTTCTTACCGGCTAGTGTTTTCATGTAAACCTTCTTGATTACACAGAGATACGTTTATTTTGGTGGAAAATATGCTGTACCCCGTCTCAAACACCAGGTAAGCTATCTAACGAAATATGGTAGGATCCAATCTTACGCCTGTAGTCGTTACTTATTCCAGAAGCCTTTACCTGCAACTCCGGGTGAGATTACCCAGTACGAACCGATGTACAAACTTAACTTGTCCGTATCATAGTTGCATCTCCCCAGCAAGTCAGCGCTGGCTAAAGGTACATTGTCCTCTTTTGTTTTTTGATCGCTTCGATTAGGCAACAGATGATTCTGAATCAGTACGTCTTGCTCAGCAACTCTATCTAAACCGCTTCGTACCACCTCACTGGCTGCCATACGTGGCGCAGATTGTTTACATACCGAGTCTATCCGAAGAGGAAGTGCACCGTGAGGCCTTAAGCGATTTCTACAACAGTTTCTGTCAGGACGTGTGTAGCACGCGGACCAAATTACGCCAACCAACCGCGGAGAAATCAAATGTTCGCATTAGTCCGATGAGCTATTTCGAGCGGATGTTTGCGGCTGTTCGGAAAGCCAGCAAAACTTACGCAGTGCGCATGTCTCGCCTGATGCTTGTGGATGAGAAGGAACTGGATGCCACACTGGACAGCCTGAACCTACAGCAGGCTCGGCTGAAAAGTGGGGCAAAACTTAATCTGTGTGTACTCTCCGATCTTCTTGGGGATCTCCACATGATGTCAAGTCGTGCATTTCTCTGCGGCGTGCTATTGTACCTCGACAAATCACAGGCGAAACAAGTTCGCTTTAATCCCATCGTAGACGTAGCTGTAGATGACTCTGATGAGTACGATTCAAGGTAAGAAGCTGCTGCTGTTACCATTAATAGGATTTACTCTTAGCGTCGCCTAACTTTTGAACAGTCAAGCTATCTCAATGGTTAAAAAACTTTGCACTACACCTAGTAACTGCTATAACCGGCAGAACTGATATAATTCGCAGTGTCGGCGCAATAAAACTGTTTATATCGTGAGCTTAACATATCTACGTTCTGACGCGAGATGCTTAATGGTTCTTTTTAAAATTGTTTTGCATATAAGGCAGACACAGTTCGGTTACTCACAACGCTAAAAATTATAGTAATATCTGTCTCTCCTCAATTATTGTTACTTACAGTTTTTTGCAATTTTTTTCAGTGATGCTGATGAAAAACTTCAGCCAGCACCGGAAAGTAAGCTACTTAAATCGTTCTCAACAACCGACGCGTCCGTTCAAGCCGACGAAGATGCGCCAGCGAAGAAGCTTACCAGCAAGCTTGATAGCGCATTGAAGAGTCTCGAGCGAATTTCCAAGCTGCAGAAACAAATGACGGGAGATCGCAGAAGTAACTTTAACGAGGAACTAGACGACAGATGCGTCAACGACGATCTGTTCCATCTTAGGGAGCATATTGAAAATATTGAGCTCAAAGATATGCCAGTGACTTCGAGGCATTGCAGATTTTCCTGGAATCAGGTACCCGGTGAAGGAAAATTTGAGGAGTCGATGCGACGGATTCGTGAATTAACTTCACGAAGTATCCAGCGATATCAAGTGTCGACAAGAAATCTCCGCTCATCGTTGAGAGGCAGGCGGATTCTACGGCAGGCGTCAACCCTGTCCAATCTCCGGGTTAAAGTGCGACCCACAAACAATGGCGTTCATACCACAATGGTAATTGACAGGCGGAACAAACAGCAACAACAGGCTCAACAGCAGCGGACCATTCAGTAGATTACAATCCGATGATTTATAAATAGTGGGCTCTAAAAGAAATAGAGGCCCAGTTAACCTTTGGTGATAGACTGTTTTACAGATTTTTTTGTTGAAATTCGTCTAAGTTCCCAATACAGGGCGATGGCAGCCGTTGCATTTACTCAATTCGATATAAAACCTATAACTACAGGCACAATGTAGATCTAATGTAAGCTTTATACATAGAAAGTTCGTACAACCTATTTAAAGATATTTTGACATTGTACAACCTATTTTATTTAACTAACGCGTTCCAAGTATACTTGCTACAAACCGTAAGTATTCTCTACAACTGTAAACAGGTGCTCAACTTAGGATAATATATGATATTTTGTGGGAAAACCAAGCATCAATGCAAACGTCTACCATGTACACTAGTGAATATATTGTAAATACAATGGATTTGCCATATAAAGGATCGGAGTACCACTGTGGACTAAGAACTTTGTGCGAACAAAGGAATGGCGTCGTATGAAATTGTACAGTCAAAGTATAAAGACAGTCAGGATTGGCAAGACTCCTAATTCTATTGTTTCCATTTCTTATATTTACTAGTTCGATTAAGGGTTAATTACATCTGGTCGTAGGAAGAGCCTATGATATATAACATTATTACTACTAGCATCATATATATATATGAAGTGAAAGGTCGCTAGCAACGACAATTTACAATGTACAAGGATTAAAGAACTTAGGTTGGCCTACAACGACGCAAAAAACACTATAAGCTAAGACATGTTAATCAAAACGGTTTGTTCTGTTTTGATCAATACGGTCTGCATGGTAAGATCGGTTTCTTTACCACGTGCCCTTAGCATCAACTGGCCATTTTCGAGGTCGTCAGAAAGATAAGCTTCCTTCTATATAACAGATACACTTTAAGCTTGCAATAGATTTATGCCCTTTACTGGCTGCATATATGCAATTACACGTAAGCAATACCTATTCCCGTGTCAATAATTAACCTAAAGCTAGTAGTTAATAAGCTTAGTTCAATACCAAATGGCCTTTCGCAAAAATCGAAAAAAATTGCGGAGAGCACATATACCCTCGAAGTCAGCAGATCCCGCTAGTTAAGATAGTGATAAAAGTGCTGGCTGCTGCTGTTCATAGAATGGTATCTAAACTAGTTTTGTATGACATTGCTGCGTCAGCTACATGGCGGGATAGCTGATCCCGTATCGCCATATTCAGGTACCAAAATGACCTCTTCCCTTCGACACCTCCAACCCTTCTGAGTAGGCGAAGCAAAAGGCTCGTTTCGATGTCCTGTTCTTGGTGCCCTGCTCTGTGCTGTCTCTATGCGAGTGGGCTCGCTCACTTTTCGTTTCCGTATCCAATTACCACTCTCGTGGTGCCTACAGCTCTCTACCAGAGCCACCAGCTACTAGTTTCTTCTGTCAGTAAGGGACGGGTCACTGCAAAGGCTCCAGTGGATAGAGACCAGTTGATCTGGTCATCTGTCGCTCCGGTCATCGTCATCTGCTAATAACCACGACACAGACACGCGCGCACAAAGATGCATACACAACAACAACAACAGCAATGATATTAGCGAGCAAGCCGGTTTTGAACGCAGCCTATGGTCTTCTCTTTCGCTCACGCTATGATTCTGCTGTGACCATGCGACCAGCCGTAGAGCAGAGCCAGCATGATCGGCTAATCCTAATCTCTGTTCACAATTTGCCCATGCGTTTGTCCTTTCGTTTTCCTAGATTTGTGGAATTTGCGGACCTGTATGAGCTTAGTGCTAGCCAAAATAAACACACACACTACGCTAGGTTAGTAGTAGAGGTTAGTTAGTTTGCTAGCAATGATGACGTCCAGGCTGGCTTGTCCTCGTATGCTGAAAGACTTTGTTGCTAGATCTGTAATAACTTTGTACGTGGTGACCATATGCAAGAATTGTCATGATCGGTTATGTGCTTGTTTCGATGCTCATATATTACTGGCCAATTATAGTTCCTCCTGTTGATCTGATGTATGGGTACTGACCCCGCTCAAGTCTGTACCATTCATGGTCGACCGATCGATACCTATTGAACACTCATATCAGTACACGTGAGACCGACTATGCTAGATGGATCAATCACATTCTTACATGCGGGGCTGCTTATATGGGCCGAGAGATAGCCTACCTTCCTCTCGAAAGGCGTATTCAGGCAACATCAGAGTGGCAGACGACCTAAGCAGTTCGTGCGTCTCAATGGGCATATCTGCGAAGTGCGAGCAACCTCCGAGGGTCCATTTGGGAATAATATCGAAGCTGATATTTAAGTTCCTCCGCCCTCAGGCTCTCCTGGGAGAGTTGCGACAACAGGGGCTCCTTAGAGCTTTGCCAAACTTCATTTCAAGCTGGTGAAAGCGCCGAGGGTGGCGATCTGCGAATTAGAAGACTGAGGAATAATAACACTAAGTACGCATGAAAGAACTCAGCTACATGCGCTGAGAAAGATACTATCCTATGACAGGACAATGATAACGGTGTTACAAAAAAACGGTGAAAGAGCTGTACCTTTTTCTACATTCACTTCTAGATTTACATTGTTTAAGTTTCACTGAGTACGTGAAAGTTAAAACATCTGTAAGTTTCTTCTTGAATAAATGAAAGTAGAGACGTTCCTCCCTGCTTCGGGTGACGAAGGCTGTTTTAGCTGTGACATGCTTCCCAGATGGAGACAGGCGACGTTGCGTCCTTCGAATAATGAGGATTGCGACGTAAGATATTTATTTGCGCTAGAAGATACATACCTAGTCAACTGATTTTGCTCCCTGGTGCAAATCATTTCAGAATTTAGAGTAGATAAAGCAGTTTGCGTCTTCAAACAAGAGGTTAGATCGGGATTTATTTACTACGGGTAATATTTACTACTAAGGGTAATCATTTTAAAAAATAATTGTAAAACCATATTCTAAGCCGTAAAAAAAGTAAGATTCGTCTAATTACGTACGCTAAGCAAATTTCTGGTCAGATTGTGGGCACTTTATAGCCGAGAGATGATACTTGTTTCCTGAGAATGACTGTAAACGTCAGAAGTTTAAAAAAAATGTTCGTACCTTTTCTTTCAGATTTATAAAATATTGTCATTTTGATATTTTTTGTTTGAGCGATGCTTATTACCGTGCTTAGGCACATGCACTGGGTAGATAATAATAATAATAATTAGTAGCAATAAAAGACTGAACGTGTACCTCATATAAGCGACTACATTCAGTGAACATACTATTTGACCCGCACCACAGAATAGGATTGTTTATAACATAAATAACGAACTTCAAACTTAGCGCACTAACAAATGTGTTACACTGTGAATGCACCAGTGGAAGACAGCAAATTCCAAAATGTCCAGCACCATTTTACAAGTTTTTACTAAAACCAAACACGAAAAGTACAGTTCTAAAAAACTAGCGTCATTTAATGGATATAAAGAGATGTTAATATATTTTTTTTTCGTTTGTCTACATAAAAATAAAGTTAACAATTTTCTATGATCCAAAGCACAGGAAAATTGCTTCCATTCGCTGGCTGACATTTTGAACGGCAGGTCTGCACTAGTCTGCCCGTAAGATTGTACTCTTCCTCACTGTTTTTCCTACGTTGGCTGTAACTCAATATATAATTTGTTTCTGGCCAGCGCTATCGTCGACACGGTCAGTTCATTACTAACATGGCGTCATGGCTACCCCAAGATTTGACCAGCAGAGGGAGCTATAGAGGGTTGTGAGGAGGATCTGCGACTTCGTGCACCCTGAGCTGCTACACAAAAACATACCTTCGCAGTAGCGACTATTGACTTTTCCCTCTGATGATCTGTCTCTCGGACAATTTCATCTTCATGCTACGAGCGACGGGTAAACTTGTTCAAAATAGTGACAGTTAGGCCAACGAAGGTTGGCTTAGATAAATACCAATCACATTTATGAAAACCGTCCGCACCGAGCGCAACAACTAACTCGATCTTCTGTCGTCTCGTAGTTTGCGAAAGGCAAGCGAGAGGGGTCTTTTTTTACTCCCGTAAGGTTTTGATCCCATGTCTCCCTTTGGTTGGCTGCCTTCGAAGAGGAGTGCTTGCAGCCGGCTTTGCCGCGTGCACGTTAGGGAAAAAGCGGATGATGGGACCGCGCTTACAGACGACTCTTTGCTCCTCGTTTCTCGCTGGCTTGTGGCACGAACATATCTATCTGATGGAGGGGGTGGGCAAGCCTACTAGTGAAGGTTGACGGCTATTCTGGGATCAGGAAGTGTATCCGATATCATCCCGGTTGGCCTGACCGTTGGTAATACCTTGTGAGACGAAGGAGATATTGGCACAGTGGCTTGGACGGCTAAGCCTATAGTTGACGAAGCCGGGGGTGGTTGGTTCAAGCCCAACCACCGACCTGTACAGCATAACATGCGTGATTAAATAAAGAGGAAAAAGAAGCATAATTTGTAGACTCATCAAGAAAGACTAAAGGAAGGTTCTATTGAAGGGTGCTCGTCGGTGTCCCTTCTCGTTTGGGTGATGCCATTACGACTACACCATTTGGCCACTACCAAAAAGAGGTGACACAAAGACTGTATGATAAATCGGGGGCCTGATCCGCTCTCTGCATAGGGACTAGGGGCACCGGCTCAAAGAGTGCATGCGCCGCTGCCTTTGGTTGTCCCTTGACGCGTTGCAGAGTGTCTTGGGCAGCAGGGTAATACCCTTACATTAGCCGACTGACCATGGTGGGCAAGCGAACCACTGAAACGAACAGATCGTTGTTCCAGATTACATTCGTACATTTCCCTACAACCAATGCGCTTCTCCATTATCTTCTAAGAAAGAAGAGCTTAAGGTTCGACTGAAATAGGACAGCCATACCCTCGTACCACCTTCGTAGTATACTATGCCCGCGTTTTTTTGATTAGTCAAAGTCTCTAATATGTTTTGACGCGGTATGTTCTTTTGTCTTCATATAGTGCTTTAGAAGCATCTCTTTTTTAAACCTTGGAGCAATGGTTGTTTCAGTGTGGACTCTTTATACTTCTAGCTCAAACGACTTCTTTTCCCGACTCTGATTATCTGTCCTTGTGACCATCTTGGTTTTTCATTCGTTGTTTTCGCGGAACATCCAAATGTTCCCAATTCAGAATAGCAGAGAAGCACCACAGGAGTGCATTTAAGCGTACAATTTTGCCAGCGTAAACGTCGCGTAATCAAATAATAGCGATAATGATGTTATGGTTTTCAAATCTCCATAAGTTTTTTGACGCATCATTCAATGCCAACTGAAGAAGGTGGTAACCGCAAGCTAGAAGTCGACAACGACCTCCTTGTCGTCATCGCTGTTAGTCGACGGAAGCAATCTAACCGATGACTTTTTATGTGGCTACCGAATCCATCTACTACTTCACGCACGAGAATATCTGGCTCTTTGATTTCTAAATCAGGCTTGTTCAACCCTTCATCGCCCCACTGTCAACCATCAAGGCTCAATCTCTCTTCAAACCCATACCGCCTAACTGCAATTACTCGCAGATTTCACCGGAGACCGATTTACATTCCCTTTGCTTTAAAGAAGACCAGACCGAAAGACACACAAAGATAAAA